TTGTAAAACGTGAAAGAGCATCGAAAATCTTTGAACGAGCCATGAATAAGACCCTTAATTTTTATTGAAATGTTTTCTTTTGCTAATGCATTGTTATGTGATATGCTTTGTGCAATAGCTTCCTAATCTGACATTTTTAATTATGTACATATTACTGATACCATACCTTGCCGAACTTAAGGCGATTCCGTCCCAGATTTTCATCTGCTGTTTGGTAGGCGAATGGTTAACCAATTGGTACATGAGTGACGTAGGTCAACAATCTCATCCGAATTCAGTGGGTAGGGCGTTTGGTACATTTTGACTTTGACATGTTTATTTAGACATAGGACAGAAAGAGACAGAAAGCTACCAAACCTCCACTACCCAGTTACAAACGGCAGTCAACCACGGTATAGCATTTGACAGACCAAAGCGCCTAGCAAAGTTGTTGTGACAGCATCATTCTCCCAACCAAACTGGGGTACCAAACTGAGGCGAAATCGCCTAAGAGAAGCCCCATAGTTGTTATTTTTAAAAAGGGAGACAAGACTCAATGTGGAAACTACAGAAGAATATCTTCACTTCCTGTTGCGGGAAACATACTCGCCAGGATATATAATCGAATCGCTTAATCCCAACTGCCGAAGATTCAAGAACCTCCCAGAAACACAGTATGGCATAGACCCAACCGAGGTACAGCTGACATGATTTTCAGTGCAAGACAAATGCCATTAATCCAGAGAACAAAATCGCCTTCATAGATTTAGTGAAAGCATTTGATTCGGGCAACAGAGAAGCTCTTTGGACGATATTGGCAAAGGTTGGGTGTCCGCAAAAGTACATCTAGGTACTCTGCCTGCTGCTTGATAATATAAATGCAACCGTACTAAGCAACGATGGAGAAGGAGAGTCTTTTCAAATTACTAGAGGCGTTGAACAGGGCTGTATTATTGCACCCACTTTAATTTCTCTATTTAGAGGATCCATACTTCACCTTGTCGAAGGTCACCTGCCATCAGGAGTGGAAATCCTGTAGAGACTTGATGGCGGCTTATTCAACCTAAATGGATTACGAGCCAAGACGAAAGTATCGACAACATCGTTAACTGAACTCTAAAATGCAATCGATAACGTCATAATGACCAATACAGATTCATATCTTCAGGCAATCATCAATGCATTCAATCAGGCATACAGGAGAATCGGCCTAGAGGTCAACTTTAAGAAGACGCAGATTCTGCACCAATCCACACCGGATGCTTATCCCCAAGCCCTAAATATAACTATAAATGACTATTTTTTTGCAGAACGTAGAACACTGCCCATAACTTGAGAGTCATCTGTCAGCGAATCCAACCATTGACGCTGAAATCCAACATAGTTTGAAGTGTGCTAGCGCGGCGTTCAGGCGATTTCTCAGCACTGAGACCAAACTTCTCGTCTACAATGTAGTTGATACACCAACACTTATATATGGCTGCGAAACATGGACCACCTACAGAAGAAGCATAAAAAGCCAAGAAAAATACCACCAGCGATGCCTAATAAGAAGGATCCTAAGAATTAAATGGCAAGACCTCAAGATCGACGAACGATACATTAGTGTTTTAGAGGAAGCCAAAACAATTAGCATGGAAGCCCTCATCATTAAGTACCAACTTCGCTGGACAAGTCACCTCGTCCGCATGCCAGAAACACGTCTTCCACGACAGATTCTCTACAGTCAACTGGAAGAGGGACAACGAAATCTATCTGTTCTAAAGGAAAATATGGCAAAGTGCCGCATCGAAACCAGAAACTGGAAGACGACGGCAAATGATAGGCCCTTATGCCATTGAGTAATCCACGGCGGACCACAAACTTTTGAAAAATAGCTACGCAGACACGAGACCGAAAAGACGAACCGCAGGAAGGAGCGAGAGAACAGGGAAGAGACAATGCTGCCAAAGACTGGGTGTGCCCAGGGGCGGATGGGGCCCCTCAGCCCGGCGCGGGAAGTGGATTGAAACGGCGCCGCGCCTGTCCAGCACAAAAAATTGGAAAGCACGAGTGATCGACTTCTGCGCATACCCAGTCGCGTAGCCAGTAGAGGGGCAGGGGGGGCGACGGCCTCCTCCCCCCGCCACTACACGTATGGCGCCCCTACCGCTCTTAAAAAACAAAACCAAGAAGTTATAAAATTATGCTGTTTCTTATTTATTTTATTGACCTCTTTCTTCATCCTTTTATTCTTTATCGTAAGTTGGCATTGTCGGCAAATGCTTCAGTTCAATAAAAGGAAACATGATAGTTTTTGTTTTGATGATTGATGTGGTTAAAATAAAAGTACCGTATACCGCCGATTTTTTCTGTCACTTCACTCCGAAGGAATGACAGCTCCTAGTGTCATTCCTTCAGATTTCCACGGATTTGTTGTCAAGGCGTCCGGGAGGATTTTTTAAGTTAACGTTTTGTCCACACATCACTTTTTTTAATACATAAATGTTTTTCGGAGTGGCACCCCAAAAAAAAATTGTTGTTGAAGGCTCAAAATAAACTTTTTTGGGCGTGGCACCCGGAGAAATTTTTCGTATCCGGCGGGCTTTTTGTCTGCAATATTTTCCCCCAATAAGCAAATAGTACAAAAACATACAAACATTCATTTGTTCCCCCCCCCCCCCGCCAAAAAAATTATGCGCCCCCTCATATGTTTGCCCCTCCCGCCCCGTAAGGCTGGCTACGCCCCTGCGCATACCCTCCTGTTGGGTTAAATATAGACAAGATGACAAAATTACTCTTTTTGCTGATAATCGGAGCCGCGCCGCTCGAGAGTCTGTTCTCACAAGTTACAGAAATTACAAACCAGTCACAGCGTTTTCGATTGGTGCAAATCGCCAACAACCAGTTTTCTGACTACATATTTTCAACCAATGGAATTCGCTCTGACTGGTTTGTGATTTCTGTGAGAGCAGACATAAGCTGTTTCCACAGAAATCACAAACCAGTCAGAGCGTTTTTGATTGGTCCAAATCGCCAACAACCAGTTTACTGACTATTCTCAATCAATGAAATTCGCTCTGACTGGTTTGTGATTTCTGTGGAAACAGAGCGCCAGTGTACGGAGAAAAGATTCTCTTGTCGCCCGTCTTTTTCTACTCCATCACCCAAACAATCAAAAAGTGCTTTGATTACGAACACGTACGTCGCATTATTATTTCTTTATTGGTCAGGATTTTTGACATGACATTTTGACATTGAAGTTTAGTGACAAAATTAAGGAAAAATATTGCTAATGCATACGTTTAAAAAACCATAGCAAACTATGATTGCTTTTTTTTAAGACCCGCTACCTCAAAACGGAACACAGCAAGCACTGTAATTTGCCATGAAACATTAGGAATGGTATGGTAACATGCATACTTATTATTTCCGCAGTTCCAAAATGGCCAACTGCCAAATCAGTTAATAAATTAGATACCAGAATCTGGCTTTTTTGCTTTTTCAATTATTTTGGAACTTCCCGCGGCGGCGCCAATCGGCGCCTGAAGGACCGGCGCACCGGGAAATCTCCCGGCTTCCCGGTGGGCCCATCCGCCCCTGGGTAACCAAGACTGTGAAAGAGTATGCGGCTCCAAAATTGGTTTATATAGCCATCAGAAAACGCACAATCGACGACAATAGGAATAGAATAGAAGATAATCATACTCGGTATCGAGTAATCGCCTGTATGATGATGAGATCTAAGCAGATTCCAACCATGTATGGTTTGCATGTATTCGAAATGATTCGTTGGTTTTTAAAAACAGACTAACCGTTTTTTCTGTCAATATTAGATAATCACGGATATATACCACTCGTACAAACGACATACCTACCTTTTCCAATTCATAGTCTGACCGTATTTGAGAAAAGTCCCTACTATATGGGAATAATCAGGAATAGCTAGGATTGAGTAGTGCTAATCTTTAATATTTTGTATGTATGGATATTTATATTTAAGTTTTTTTTTGACGTCATCTCAATTTGTGTTTATTAATTCTTTCTTTCAATTTTCAGCAATTAGTATATTTCCTAACTGTCTACCCATAGGCCCTGAAAGCACAAATGGAGGGTTAGGGCTGGTTAGGGCCAGTAGTGACGGTGAAAATAACTTATGGATATTGTCAGGCACCATAAGTCAAAGTTTAAAAAATACCTATGGCATTGATGAGATGGCATTATTTTACGTCGCTTACCCCCTTACCATTGTGAGCTGAATCCAATAGAGCTTCTATGGGAACAAGTAAAAGGGTATATATGTTCCTAGCAACACAAAACTTTTTCAAGATGGAAGATATATGAGAACTCTTGGGGGATTTATTGGTGAATATAACTGCGGAAAACGGGAAAACGCCCTAAAACATGTAATAGCATATAGGAGAAAAAAATGTGGGATCTTGACGACGCAATAGACGAAGCTATTACCTTACGGCATTACCACTCTTCAGATTTTTCTGAGGATGAACTTTTATAAAAAAACAATAAATTTGAAAAATTGATGTATTCAAAACAAATTACTATGAACCAACTAAAAAAAACTAACTTGCATTCGATTATTTGTGGACGATATCAAAAGTAAAAGAACCATGTGAAGCATTTTGCAATGTTAATAAGGTTGAATTTTTTTTTTTATATCATTTTTACTGGTTTAATACCTACATGAATATTTTCGCTGTTACTTTGTCAAAATTAGATCATGTCAGCAATAGAGCGCAAAATTAATTTCAATTATTTGACTCAATTTAAGGTGAATTTTGGGTTTCGAACTGCGTGCGTGCAAAGTAGAGGTACCTATTTCGCGCACGATTGCATGGACAGTGAACAAATTGCTGAGTATGACAGAAAATGGTCAACTTTGAATGGTGATATCTTGGTCACCATATAAAACAATGACAATACAAGGTTTTTTGTAGTACCACCATGTTCAAGTATAAAAAAAAAATCATGAAAAACACGAGCTCTTATAGGTATCCATATCGCGATAATTGTCAATATTATTATGTAACTCGACAATTACACCGATTAGAAAATATCAGCAATTAAGTAGTAGATAATGGTTTTTATCTGAAATAGCGTCCAACCGTAACCAATAGGAATAATCAGCGTGGACAGGTTTTTTTACATTCAACTGTATACAAAAAAATGTAAATCACAAACACACGCTGAGTTAAAGAAATTATTATTACTAAAATTTTATTTTTGTTGAAAATCTTGCAAAAATTTATTGTATAAATTCAAGGTGTTCTCATAAACTATAATTATTTATAAAAATCCGTAACATTGTAACATGTAATTTTAAAACATTTCTTACACCCTCTTAAAAGAGTGTAAAAGGTTTTTAGTGTAGGAGGTGACTATTTTCATATAGTTGTTGACCTACAACAAATGTATTTTTTGATTTTGCCAAATATGGAAATATGCAATTTCAACAATTATACTTGATATTTAGCCTACAGAATATTAAATAACTATTCATGGAAAATTTGGAGAAAGGCACACATAAGTTTTACCAATTAAAATTAATTATATTATTCCAAGAACACAATAATATTTGACTAAAAACTAAAAAAAGCTACATAAGATAACATACAAAATCAGTATTAGGAACAGGCATCATAAAACTTAAAGCTACCTCTATAAGCTTGAAAAAGCTACAAAATATCACGACAATAACCAATTATAATATAAATTAAATTGTGAAAATTATCATCTAATAAAAACGAATAGAAGAATAATTTACATTAAGCCGCTGGAATAAAATTTATTAGAACAGCCTGATCATTCTCATTTTCTAGCTCTAGCCTTCATTCAAAATAATTCTGCAGCAATTGCAAGCCCATCAAAGCAATAATTGATCGATCAAAACTAGCTTTGGTTTGTTTGTAATTACTAGAAGAACATAACAAATCCCTAATGACCCCACCCTTTGGTAAGCCTCTTCCACAAACTAGGCTTCTCAATATTCTCCGGAGGAGGTTGATCATTTTTGATCTGTTCCAAAAACGCTGTATGCTGACTTTGGTTCTCTTGAGTGGTTGCGTCGCCAATTTCTCTCAAGTCCCTCATCATTTTCTTCCTAATCGTTTTTTTCATGCTCAGGTGCCTTTCCAGCGTTTTATATTTATGCTTTGTGCGATTATCGACGTTGGTTTCCAGAACTACTCTAGGGTTTTCTTTGTCGGACTCTCTGCTGACGCTCCATAGGTCACGCACGTCTCTTATTCGTCTTTCGTTCATTGAGGCCATTTTGCATTCTTAGATAATCTGGAAAAATTTGAGAGATATCAAACATGAGTTTCAGTTAATTAACAAAGTTCTAAGCCAACGTATTAAACTAGATGTCGCATCCAAACTATTCCAAACGTATCAAATTTCACAGGTAAATATTTTTAAAACAAAAAAAGAAACGGAGATGCAGTTGGCCATGGGAGTTTTTTTTTTTTGACGAATTCATATAAATTTCTTGGACACTTTTGACCAAACATGTGACTTTTTGAAATAAAATTACTCGATAATTCAACTGAAACACTATTCAACGCTCATTTTGTAGAAATTGAAGGAGTTTTTGGTCAATTTTTCAAAGGACCCCGCATACTTCTTATGGGATTTTGGTTGAACGCGGAATTTAACCAAATTTTGATATGTTTTATATTTCGACCTCCTGAGTAAAACTTCTCATGGGTACAAACCGATCCTATGACTAGTTTCAGATATACGGGGGGTTTTTTAATACTACCTTAGGCAACCCAAGTACCTACCTATACTGAGTGTACATGAGTCAAAAAGACTTGCATTTATTCCTTTAAAAATTGGTTATTTTATGTTTCCTCAACAACTAAAAATGTTTAGTAGGTAGTAGAGGTGTTCGTAATTCTTCCTTTATATACCACGGACGCTCGAAAACTATGGCTATTACCAAGGTAAATGAGTTGATGACCAAACGTGTGAAAAATTGTGTACTTGTAGGTGTGACTTTCTATCTCTCAATCAATTCCAGTTCTCGCTACGCTCGTGCTAAAAGCTTTTTGCCTCATAATCCCTTGGCCTAGGGTCTAAGACTTTATAAGTGTATAGGTATTAGGTATACAAATTACTATTGAGGAGATACGTAACTTGGTAATTTGTTCGACCTAAACAGCCATAGAAACGAAAGCAATGAAAATTGTTTTTTCATATGTCATATTTTACTTGGTAACAGTGACCCTGTCAATAAAGCGAATTGTCTTTTTTGTCACCTTTCTTGTGAAACTGGCATTTCGGAAAAGGTATATGTGCTACATGTGCAGTGGTAAGAGGACAGGACCAAAAAAATGGAACTATCAAGCTTTCGGCAACGTTTCGGAATATATTTTTCCTTTTTCAAGCCCTGGAAAAGGGAAATACAAGCACTGAGTACAACAATAAATATACTGTTGTGAGTTAATTACAACTTTTAAGCCAAAATAAATAAATAAATTAAAAAAATAAAATAAATTGTTTCTTTCAGTACTTACTTAAACTATTGCTTCTGGAGTCCGTTCAGGATGGACACAGGCTTAAAAGTTGTAATTAACTCACAACAGTATATTTATTGTTGTACTAAGTGCTTGTATTACCCTTTTCCAGGGCTTGAAAAAGGAAAAATATATTCCGAAACGTTGCCGTTGATAGTTCCTTTTTTTTTGTTCCTGTCCTCTAACCCACGAAATTAAAACAATTTTATTTTTTTTAAATCGCTCGTACACGTAATTTGATAGTGTGAGTGTTTGAAAGATTTTCAACACTAACTTAACCCTCTAGGGGGGGGGGGGTAGGACCAACCCTTACCATTCCAAATGGAACAAGGGGTCGAGTGATACCTGTTGTAAAATAGCGTCCAAATTTCTTTCAAATTAGATCAAATGAAAGAGAATTGGAAGAGGTACCACTCGACCCCTTGTTCCATTTAAAATAGTAAGGGTTGATCCCACCCCACCTAAGTTGAACTGCTGAAAATGGTTGCAGAAAACTTCCCCCTTTGAAAATCAAATTATGTGTACGAGCGATTTTTTTGAAAATAAACGTGGCATCAGATATTTAGCCTGTTTCGTTTTAAATGGTACACACTGTATATAGGCACCTAACTTAAAACATGCCTTTCCGTAAAAGGTCTAAACTTAATCAACATTATACAATGGTAGTACGTAGCAAGTAGAGCAACATGGGCCAGTGTTACTGTAATCGTCCGTGTTGTTTCTACTTCAAGCACAAGTAAATTTTGATTTTTTACTTTAACTTCAAATAATTACTTCAAGAAAGCGAATGAAGTTTGGTGTCTTGTTTACAAATGAATTATTGCGGAGTGGGCTATAATATTGTCAAGTGTTTCTAGTGATGTTGTAATTACTTATTCATTTGACGCGAAAAAACGAAAAAAATCACGTTTGGGGCAGGTTGTAGCAAATTCTCCGGGGCAAAATGTAACATGTTACAACTTGCCCCGGTATAGGTTTGACTTACAAATACCAAATACCTAACTAATTTTTTTTTTCTAGGATGAGAACGTACAAAAGAAAAACAGGAAGAAGTTTTATCTTTAAAAAAGATATGGAAGAGGCAGTTAACAGACTTATACATAATAAGGAGTCTATCCGCTCAGTTGCCGATGCTCTAATCTAAATATATGTCACGTGACTCTTTTTAGATATAAAAGAAGAAATAAAGAAGGTGAGAATTAAATGCCGAATATCGTATTACATTAGATCATGTAGGCTATAGGCCAAAATCAAGTTTTTAATGATCAGCAGTCGGCCAGCCTAAATGAATCAAAAATATATTTTGGGTTGACTCCTAGGGAAGTCCGTAAATTGGCCTACGAATATGAGTTGCATTACGACATTACAGTTCCTGATTCCTGAAAAAAAAAACAAATCAGCAGGGGAAGATTGGTTGACATTGTTGACAATATTCATTAAAAAAAATCGTGACCTTTCTATTAGAACCCCCAGAAGCTACCAGTTTGCAAACGGCAACTAGTTTCAATAAAACCAATGTTTCCCCTCTTTTTTGATAAATTGGCTCACGTAAAAGATAAATATGGAACCTAGATGAGACTGGGGGGTGACTACCGTGCAAAAAGTAGGAAATGTTATTGCCGAAAAAGGAACGAAGCAAGTATGTGGCATTACATTACAAAGAGGGTTTCTGGTTACTATATGTGTCATAGCAAGTGCGATAGGAAATGCTACGTCGCCTATGTTTCTGTTCCCCCGGAAAAAATCCAGGATCACTTTATAAGAGATGTTCCTCCAGGGTCCATTGGTGCAGCCAATGGTTCTGGATGGATGACGGCAGAAACCTTTTATACATTCATGCAACACTTTATTGCTCATGCTAAGCGATCCATAGAAAACCAAACCTTGTTGTTGGACAATCATAAGTCGCATTTGGCAATAAAAACAATAAACAAAAGAAAATGGGGTGGTAATGCTATCATTTCCGCCCATTGTTCACATCGTCACCAGCCATTGGACAGAAGTTTGTATGGTCCCGTCAAAAAATATTTATCTTCTGCTCAAGACAGTGGGCTACGAAACCACCCTGGAAAGTCGATGGCAATCTATGACATCCCATCTTTGGTCCAGCACGCGCTTCCACTAGCCGCTACTCCACTAAACATTACAAAAGGTTTGAACGTCTCTTGTATAGAACCGTTTAATAGAGATATTTTTGGCGACGATGAATTTCTACCAGTCAGCGTGGCAGATCAACCACCACCTCCAAAATCTTCTCTAACAGAATCTGTGGCTCCTACGTCAGCTGATCTACCAGAAGACTCCTGACAAATCCAGGTCCAATTCACCGGCTATTATGAATGATAATCTACGGGCACGTGCCTATTCTGGAGTAAATGAACTTGAACCAGTTGCAGTTGCAACATCAGGATTGAATAAAAATAGTTCCCAGACAAATTCTAAAACCAAGATCAATTTCTCTCCAGGCTTTGTTGGGCCAACCCTTAAAGGTCGAAACAAACGAAAAGGTGCAGGGCTTACCGACACACCTGAAAAAGATGCGCTTGAGGAAAACAAACCATCAGTCGAAACCTCAAGAAATCAAAAGGAATATTGAAGTTAAAAGTAAAGAAAGTGAAGAAAAAGGATTTGTATCTTCAGATTTTTCTTTAGAAGAATAGTTTTTTTGTCTAGTTTGCAGTGAAGAATTTGCGAACAGTAAACCCAAAGAAAAATGGGTTATGTGCATGACATGCAAATTGTGGTCACATCAAGGGTGCACTGATGGAAACTATCCATATATCTGCCATAACTATAATTCTGACAGTGATTAGATACCTAATCACTTTTCATTGAACTTTAATTTATATTTTCCAGAAATAGGTAGATATAGTTTATGTTAACGTTTGTTCATGTAGCCTAATAAAAAAATATTAGTTACAACTTACCCCATGTACTGTTACATTTTACCCCGTGGCGGGGCACGTTGTGAAAAATCGTCAATGTCAACTTGAAATAAAGCTAGCCATCTTATTTTTGAATATTTTTGATATGTATTTATTTAATTTATTCATAACATATGTAAGCAGATATTCACGAAAAAAAATCTGATTAGGGATAATTAAAGGGGGTGTGCGCCAAGAAAACAACTTCATCTCAAAAAAAAGAGAAAAAAAATCTAAGAATAACAGTGAAATCCGCACCCCTCTATGACAAGTAATACCGCAGATATGGCTCTATGAAGGTACCGCATCTCACCCTATGACGTCACGAAAGCTCAAGCGACGCACGTGAAAGTGGATTTAATTAAATTTACATAATGTTTTTCCTGTGTTACCTGCAATAATCTAAACAAAAACCACTCACGCGTGCCGGGCACAATCAAATTAACAATGCGGAGCGCAGCTGGAAGAAGTTTTCGTGACGTCACGAGAGCGTTGTCCACACTTTAAAGCGGTATATCGCAGCGATGGTTTATCGTAGAATGACGAGGTTTGAACAGTTGTTCTTAGATTTTTTTACAGTAAAACTTTAATTTTTGGCGCACACCCCCTTTAACAGATCTAAGAAAAAAAAAATGATATATTTTTTGTTACAACTAGCCCCGGTCTCCCCTACCTACCGTAAATAAACGCAAAAAGCATGAAAATTCAGTAGTTTCAGGTTGCCTGAGGTAAGTAGTATTAGAAAAACCCCCGTATATCCGAAACTAGTCATAGGATCGGTTTGTAGCCATGAGAACCAGAATTTGGTTACATTCCGCGTTCAACCAAAATCCCATAAGAAGTGTGCGGGGTCCTTTTTCAAAGACGTCTTTAAGACATTTTCAGAATGTTTTAGAAAAATGTCATAAAGACGTTGGGTTTTGTAAGATACGACGTGTTTAAGATGTGAACACGTAAGCAGATGTCTAAAAAACGTCTTGAATGTCGTTTGTGGCCATCTTAGACTCGTTTTTAAAATGTCTACAAAAATTTCCCACACAATTAGTTTCTCATTCAATTTAGAAGTTACTGGAAACCATTTACAATGCTACAGAACACTTTAGCAACTTAAATAAGCCCTTTGGAAAGTTCAAAACACTTAAAATTCAACTTAGAATTTCCAAAAGCATTCTTAAGCGCTTGAGAACAATTTGGAAACTTCAGAACCATTCTATTAGAATGTCCCAAAACATTCAAAAACCCATTTACAATTTCCAAAAGCATTTTAGATCAATTCGGAAGTTTGAAACCCATTTTAGGACGCTCCTAGAAACTCAGAGTTATTTCAGAACAATTAGGATTCAATTTAAGACTGGAAACCTTTTAGAACTCTTTTGAAAAAATTTAGAACACTTTAGAGTTTCAATAGGGCTCTAAAATACTTCAAAATCTGGTCAAAACAATTTAGAACTTCAATAAGCCATCTAGAGCGTTCTAAAACACTATCCAGCAGCATTTTGAAAAGCTTCAGAACAATTTAAAAACCGCAGATCATTTTAGAGAACCTAGCGCTAGCGCCTGGAATATAGACAAAAATTGACAGTTATAAAATAAGTATAATAATAATAAGGAAATATCAGCAAGAAAATGTTTCTCTTTTAATTCAAATTCTTATGATTTTTTCCTATTCCAGGCCCTTGATTTCTCCTTATTTCTTTATTCTAAATACCCCAGGGAAATTAGACTAAAAAAAGGGCCATCTGTGGAATGAGGCCAAACCAGCTGAATTTTTGCAGAGACCTTCGTTTTGATGTTCTAATGAAGCGCAAAAAAATCGAATATGCCTACCCTTGTGCGTCTTGAGATATCGAAGGTCAAAGGTCACGAAAATCTCGCTTCCAGTGCATCTGACGTTGAAGAACCTAAAATAAAACTTACGTAAAATAGTATTTTCTACAAAATTGTTCGAATACATTTTTTTGTACGACCAACCGTTTTCGCAATATAGCGCGATAAAGCGGGAGCGCGCATTCAAAATAGATGATACTGTATTATACAGGGTGTCCCTATCCAACTGGTCAAAATTGCTAGGCTTTATAGAGGAACTATAGAGAAGTAATTTGAGATAGGACACCGATGGTCGGAAGTGCGTCGTTTCCAAAATACAGGGTGTTGAAATTTAAACAACACCCTTTCATATTATCAGGAGGGCTTATGCTAGGCTGTTCAAATTTCCAGGGATTATTGATGTAAGAATGATATTTAAAAATTCGTATAATGCACCCCCATTTTCTACCTGGAACCATCCTAAAAAAAAAAAAAAGATTTGAAAAAAAAGCAATTTGTTTCAAATTTTATTTATTTTTTGGGGTGGTTCCAGGTAGAAAATGGGCGTGCATTATAGGAATTTTTGAATATCATTCCTACATCAATAATCCCTGAAAATTTGAACAGCCTAGCATTAGCCCTCCCGATGATATGAAAGGGGGTTGTTGAAATTTCAACACCTTGTATTTTGGAAACGACGCACTTCCGACCATCGGTGTCCGATCCCAAATCACTTCTCTATAGTTCCTCTATATACCCTAGTATTTTTGACCAGTTGAACGGGGACACCCTGTATACTACAGTATCGCCTATTTTGAATGCACGCTCCCGCTTTATCACGCTATATTTTGAAAATGGTTGGACGTACAAAAAAATGTATAGGAACAATTTTGTAGAGGATACTATTTTACGTAAGTTTTATGTTAGGTTCTTCAACGTCAGATGCACTGGAAGCGAGATTTTCGCAAAAACCCGATTTTCGTGACCTTTGACCTTCGATATCTCAAGACGCACAAGGGTAGGCATATTCGATTTTTTTGCGCTTCATTAGAACATCAAAACGAAGGTCTCTGCAAAAATTCACCTTGATCGCAGAGGAAGTCTAATTTCCCTAGGGTAAAATTCTTAACTTTCTTTTGGCTCTTGGATGTTTCCATTCCAAGTTTTTGAATTCTCATTATTCGCATATTTTAGAATTTCAAGCTCTCGATTTGTTTTTCAATTTTTATTCCTGGCTCTTCTACTGTTCTTCTTCCAAAATGAATTTTGTCTATGTTTTCGTTTAAAAGAAATCAATAATTTAAGAGCCTAGCGTTTGGAACAGACAAAACTTGAAAGTTATAAATGCGTAATAATAACGAAATATTAGTCCCGAAGGCAGACGTCTGAAAGACGTTGGGTTTTGTAACATACTGACGTCTTGAATGACCGTTTGTGGATATCTTAGAGATGTCTCTAAGATGTCTCTGTACTGTCCTGTCTGGAAAGTTTGAGTTAAAATTGAAGTTGAATAGAAATTGAAACTTGAAGTTTCAAGCCAAGTTAAATTTGGCACACAAATCGAAAATTTCAAAGATCTCAGTCTCAAACCAGATTATGCCATCTTTTTCTAAATTACGAGATGTAAGTAGTTGCGTTCAAAATTAAAAGTTCATTTGCGAATACTCATTTCTAAGAAATCCAACCCCATCAGTAGATTCAGCTCGTTCCTATGTTTCACTGCAATGATGATCCCTAGGCGGAAATATCAGGGAAAGCGGAATAATTTGAAATGGAGCGCAAGTATTTTGAATTTTTCAGATATTGAAACGTTTGCTATAGACATATTATTAGGTCTGTTTCTGTAGAAATCACAAACCAGTGAGAGCGAATTTAATTGGTTGAAAAGTCAGAAATAGTCAGAAAACTAGTTTCAACCAATGAAATTCAATCTTACTGGTTTGTGATTTCTGCAGAAACAGACCTAATATTACAGTCGATAAGTCAAACACTCTGTAATAAAATGGTATAATCTGAACGGACCATTCCTTTCATCGACACAGCTGAAATATGTGTACATACTTGTATTCCCTAGAATATTTTAGAAAACAATCTATTAAAACTTTTCTCTTATAGCTCTCACAAGTTATTATTATTTTTGTAAAAATATAAAATAACAAATTTTCTTTCAAAGCCTCAGTAATATGCTCAGATAATTTTTAAATAAATGTTCATGAAAAACCTTCGAGCCTCACAAAATAAAATGTTACAAGGTCTTGAACATAACATCCATTATATTTAGACAGGGAGCAGAATTTTCGCACTTCTTTGAAAACAACTAAGTCCACGTAAAAACTATCGTACGACGTATTTTTTCTCCAATGAAGCATAGTCGATTGACAAAAAAAAAACATCCATGACTTTTTTACAAATTATGTCTTGTGTTTCAAAAGTCTGCGAAAATGTTTTCTCATATCTTAAATTTGGGTTTCTAGGGTAAGAGCGTCACTGTTTTCCATGCATCTTTTGATGTACCTACCTATACACTATACATGGGCCCGTTTTGACGTTTCTAAATCCTAATAGTATACCTACAAGTCTTCGTCAGCAAACTATAGTGAATAAAAAAAAATCTTCCATCAAATCACGTTTCCAACTTTCAACCATAAACCACTGAGCGGTTCTGCCAGTTTGAGCCGCTTTTAGATGTTTCATTATTTGAAATTGGGCAAATACCTATGCGTTACCCAGGCAGCATGAAAACAGTTTTTCAATAATTTGGTTTTTCACGGATATCTAAAATGCGGTTCATTAACCAACTGTTGTGGTCGTTTCGGAAGATATAACATTTAAAAGTTAATTTGGAAAATTTGCCAAGTAGAACTAATAAATATGCTTCTTTGCCATTTAAAATAAAAATACTTGTTGTACTATTGCTTCAAGAAACTTTTTAAAATTAAAAATCACCTAAATATTATTATGTACCTACTTAATTGTTTACATAAATTGCAAATTCGGACATCCCCTCTGCATTTTCTAATATACCTACGTTTTATAAAAAGGTGAAACAAGCTTTTCAATTTTCTGGAAAAAAAAGTCTCTATGCATAAAGACTTACATAGATACTGGAAAACCTGATAGTGTAGGTATAAATCTGTTGGTAATGGCGAAAGCAATTTTTGATGCAGTATAGCAGCGCTGCAGCTAAATCGAAAATTTTTGAGTCGAAACAATTTTAATTTTAAACAAAAACCAACTGGCAGTAAATCTATAACAAAGGTCTTGAAAAAAATCACTATAGAAAGTAGAAATTCTGGGTTTAGATTAAGTAATAAAAGCTACAAATTAATCGCAATATACCTACATACGAAACAAATAAAACTAATCTAGCCAGATCAATAATTCATTTCGATTGTAAAAGGTTGTTTAATCTAATACCGGAATTGTGAAAGTCCTTCAAATCTCGATGATAAAACAAACAAAAAAATAATACAATGTTTCTAGGTATACAATGCATGTTCTTTTGTTTGCTGGAACAAACGGCCCGAAATATCCGTTTTTTGTTTCGTTAATTTTTGTAGAAAGTGATTTAATTTTTCTTACCTTTAAATCAAACCCAAACTAAATCCAAAATATATAAACAAAGAAACTGGGAAGTTGTCTGTGTGTGTGTCACGCTAGTATTGTTTATTATTAGAATTTAACAGTTATAAATTTGTCTTAGCAGCAGCGCAAGTATCGTTGAACTTGAGACTTGGAAATGTTAAACTACTATGTATCTACTTACTTCGAGAAAAATATGTTCCAAAATTCAGAACAAAAGCAGCAACCGGCAGTGGTACCTATCATTACCGAATTGAACTTTTACACATTGGTAATTTTGTTGTGTTGGGTTGCACTATAAAGACATAACAGTATAACAACTATGAAGTCAGCAGAGCTAGCAGCTTCTCAAGAGTCAAGGTGAACAACTTCTTGTCGGATTCATTGAAATGCCCTACACACTGGTTTGTCTTATTTCTTGGACTTTTCCGCGCACCTATTTTATTTTAAATTAATTAAAAAGAAATTATTTCAACTTACCCTTCACTATCTTACAATAGTAAGTAAGTTGGTTGTTGCTCGGGAGCGCACTATTTTTCGTTTTGTTCTTCAACGCGGCTCCGACTGAGGACTTTTACTTTCAGTTTTGTGGGTTGGTAGGCGACCAAGTTTGTTTCTTTTGTATTCAAAGCATGTTTCGCTTTTTTTTACTTTCCTCCATATAATAGACGATGGCGATAGTTTAAAAGACTTAAAGGCTCTTCTCCCAAAAGTTGTATCGGGTTTTCAACTAACAATGTAGGAAATAACGCGTTAAGCATAGAAATTGCCTAGTTTGGCTTTGGACTGCTTCCTGGACACGTGAACATGACTATGAACTAGAGAACTTTAAACTGCAATTAATGAAATTAATGAAAATTGCTTGCTTTAATATGGTACATTTAGCAATAATTAAAATAATAATAAAATGTAGGTACTTATATTACGCAAGAACACACCAATAATTTCAGAAAAGGTCAAGAACAGATAACTACTTTAAAATTGGCTGCACGATTTGGTCAGAATACGAATTTGGCATCATTGTTCACTTTTCAGAGAATTTAATGTGACTAATAACTCGTACCAATCAACTTTGAGTTTTGGTAGTTTTAGGTTGCTGCTGTCATAACATATTATCTAAAACGTCTGAAAATACTGAAAACTGGGTCCAGGAATCCGTAAAAATAATAAACAAAATCCTTGGCTTGAGTGCAAATTTATAATTTTTTTTATTTAACAAAAATATAGTTAGTATAAATAACAGTTCTCACTGGACAGAAAATCACTATATGAATGTGGTTTGTAGTACCTACCTTTTACCTTGATAAAGTTTTGTTTACAAACAATATACATAGTTATAAATATATTTATAAAACTAATTAAAACATATCTGATACAAAGCAACTTAATGAAATATGTATAAAACTATATATTTAAAAAGTTTTATCCAACGCCCTCACAATAATAAGGTAAAAAATAATTCAAGAACTGAAACAAAAAAAGCTACATGGATTTTGTTGAATATCGTTATACATTAACAAATGCGACAGTTATTAGGTCAAACCTTCTTCTCTACAACCCATTTCGAAATTTTAATTTGGGTAAAAAAAAAGGCCATTAAATAAGAAATACTTCACCACAATCACCTCTTCCCTTTCTTTTTTGAATTAAATTGTAATAAATGTCCAAAACTTGGTAAGTTTCTTAAAGGGGTGGTTTATCAGAAATAAACCACTCATGCCTTTTTCTTCCCAACATCTTAAAATTAATTTTTCAAGCGAAAGTTTTGTTGTTTTGTAGTGGGTATCTTTAATCAGGTCACTCCTCATAATAGAGGATTTTGACTATAATATAATATATAATATGGGTCATATATATTTTAACAAAATATAAGGCACGTTAATGGAAAAATGTGGAAAGACTTCAAAGAGGTAGATGACAAACTGGAATATCAGTGTAAGTTGAATGCGAACGACACATTTACTATTTATAATTTTCTATAAGTTTCACACAAAAAAATATGTCAAAAATGACTGTCCATATGACATGAACCTAAAGATGTATTTGATTCCTATTATTTGCCCAAAACACATACATACTTAAGATACAATTAAGTAAAGTACAACACAGCATAGATGACGCCCTCTCATTGGTTAATTGGTGAGATCCATAGCTGTGATGTGGTTATAAATTTTTCCTTATTTGTGACTAATTACGTAAGTTTGAAACTCACCAACCACCAGATCACGAGCATCGAAGAGTAAAATTTAGGTTTATGTATTGTATAATTTAGGAAGTTTCTTTCTTCAAAATAGGCATTAGTATTCCGACGCTATCGGAAAAATTCGAAAAATTATAATGTTGTATAAATCATTGAAATCTAGTTTATTAATTCACATAATTAAGTGTTTCTATTTACAAAGTATCGAAAAATAACTGAATAGCAGAATTTATATGGATGGTTTTTTAAAGAATAAGATGAGTTAGAATTGCCAGAATTCTATTTTAAAAATTGATTGTTTCCGTGGTTTTACTATAGTGAAAAAGCAAGAATTTCTTTTACATTCAGCCTTCAAACTTTACACAGCTTCGTATATTGTTTTTTTTTTTAAAGCAAATTAAGCTAGTAATGCAAAATTGATATATAAAGCTTTTTGAAATTACAACCCCAATTCTAATTGGACAAACAATTGCAATAAAATTTAAATAAACATGTTTTTCTCCTAAAATTGAACATGCATTTTTAAAAATTTAATATCAGTAGTAGGCCAGGAAAGAGAGGATGAACCTCGCAAACTCGACACAAGTTTTGTTTTATTTTTTTCCTGGTAGATAAAGGGCTGCTTATTATGGGTCAATTTTCTTGCAACAAAATTTCATCCCCTTTCATTTCCCTAAAAGTCGTTTTTTGTGGTTTTTCCGAAACGTAGCGGTTCCGCTACGTTTTACAAAAAAATACCTCCATAGTAAATTAAAGAGGTCTAAATTCTCTACAATTTATCCAGCGATAGTATATGTCTATCACCTACCCTTTAGTTGGGGAGGCGCTCTAAAGTTGAATGACCTTAAAAAAAGAAGTTCTGGAAATTATTTTTTCTTTACTGAACAGTAAAGCGAATCCAACACAAACCAAACAGCAAATACTCATAAATAATTGGCCGATTTTTTGGTATATGTTTTATTTAAAAACAGTTACCCGTTTAGGATATACAGGGTGTTGAAATTTAAACAACCCCCTTTCATATCATCTGAATGGCTAATGCTAGGCTGTTCAAATTTTCAGGGATTAATGATATAGGAATGATATTTGAAAATTCATATAAGGCACCCCCATTTTTTTCCTGGAACCACCCCAAAAAAAAATAAAATTTGGAAAAAATGGCTTTTTTTTTTTCTTTTTCTTGCACACAATGCCCTCCATGTGAATGGTTTAATTTATTATTTTGTGCACACCTCCGACATACATGCTTAGACACCAAAATAATTTTTCAAGTACAACCCCACTAGACGGAAAAAAAAAATATTGAGGGGGTGAAAAAAAATATATTTATTTTTTGGCCTTTTTGTTTCACATGGGTCAGTAGCGCACTAAATAAGCTTTCCAAAAATATATCTACTTATTGCAACATCCCTCTGGAAACTACCCCCGCCCCTTATGGAAGTTGTCGCAACCACTCTTTCGCAATTATTTCGTTACCTATACATTGTATGAGAAGGAAATTATACGAAATTGAAGACCGCCATATGCTTTACAAATAAGGTCTTGATGCATTTTTAATACACGTTAATATAAATATTTTTTTCCTCTCATCTGATCGGTTGGGGGGGTGCTAAATCTGTGAATAGGTGACAAGATAATGGAATAAAACTGGAATTCGTTATAAAATTTCTAAGCTTTGGGACGCCACTGTGGCCTAACGGTTGCAAAATATAAAAAAATGCATTAGGAACCTATTTGTAGAGCAAATGGTCAATTTCGTATAAATGGCCTTTCCATACAATGTCTAGCATTAGCCCTTCAGATGATATGAAAGGGGGTTGTTTAAATTTCAACACCCTGTATATCTTAAACGGGTTAACTGTTTTTAAATAAAACACATACCAAAAAATCGGCTAATTATTTATGAGTATTTGCTGTATGGTTTGTGGTGGATTCGCTTTACTGTTCAGTAAAAAAAAAAATAATTTCCAAAACATCTTTTTTTCAAGGTCATTCAACTTTAGAGCGCCACCCCGACTAAAGGGTATGTGATAGACATATGCTGTCCCTGGATAGAGAATTTAGTCCTCTTTAATTTACTATAAAGGTATTTTTTTGTTAAACGTAGTAAGCGCTACGTTTCGGAAAAACCACAAAAAAAGACCTTTAGGGGGATGAAAAGGAATGTTCCAGGGTGAAATTTTGTTGGAAAAAGTTAGAGCCATAATAAGCAGCCCGTGTTCTACCAGAAACAAAAATAAAACAGAACTTGTGTCGAGTTTGCGAGGTTCAACCTCTCTTTTCTGGCCTATAGGCAGGATATAAAAATATGTCCTTTGAAAATAAGTTTGCTATTAAACCGAGTCAACGGTTTAAAAACATTTCATAATAAATTTGAAATATTGCAATCCATGGTTTATACAATGGGCCACTTTTACGTGCCAGGAATATGGCAAATTATGATATTTTTTTGACGCAGATACATGAATGCAACCGAGAATGAACAACATTTTGCAAGATTTGAGTCAGATTATTGAATAAGTTAATCAATGAAAATGAAAAATTTAAACAAAAAATCACGTGACCGAAAACGCCCTCTCATTGGTTAAAGCCGATATTCATGACTTTGTTGCCACATTTAAAAATGCGAAATTTAAATGAATTCCAGGATTATACCCATGCTTCATTTTTTCATATTATAGTAAAGGACGAAAATAGTCTTTAGGTGATGAATGGTGCAATGATGATGAATTGATTCTCGCATTTTTACTGATTTTCCGGTTTGTAACGTCACACACCGGTCCAGCGTTTTTACGGCAGTTTAAAAGTTCGATTTTTCAATAATTTTGTTTATAAAAATAAGCGTTTTTTTTGGAAAAAAAATGTACAGATAGTATTAGAATGACTAAAAGAATAATTCTAATATTATGATTGTGAAAAACCTGAAAGTGGCCCATTGAGCCAATTTTTTTGGTCATATTGACCTTGATTTCCTAGGGGTCGGTTCCTCAATAGCGAGTCACCTACGGGTTGGTTTTAAATCCAGGGTAAATGTGTCCAGTTCAGTAGCAATGTTTACCCTGGAGTTATGACTTGCTATTGTGAAACCGGTACTAGATCGATTGTCGGATTTTTCGTAGTATGCTTGACACGAGAAATGAGATGGATATTTTTGCTATATTATTGTCTGGACCCTTATTAAATTTGAGGGGCCTATCACTGTAAAATGAACCCATCAGATCCCCGAATTAAATATAACTAAACTATTAGAAAGGCTTGGAATTTAATGTTCGTAGAAAGCTAGGAGTGTGTATCAAATTATGAAAATGTTATATTTTTCATGTTACATCAATATTCAAGTTTCTCCTAAAAACCATTCGTATCAGTCAAACTATGGAAACCCGCTAAACATTACGTATGTTGCAAATGCATGTCTGACTTATATTTATACATATAGGATAAGAATTTATTTTCAATTTCCATGAGTTAAATTAATACTATTTTAAATGGAACTGAGTTTTTTGAGGAGACTTGACCAAAGGATCATTTGCTAACAATGATCGGTTATGTAAAATCTTCTGAAACTTTTTAAAGATTCACATGCACAAATGACCAAAACCACTGTAAAACAGACATAAATAAGGAAAATCTTTTGATTTGATTGGACCTACTCTGTCAAACGCAATTACTATCATCAATGTGTGCAGGTGCGCATATTGTTTTTACACCAAAATATTTTAGTTTGCAACATCCATAACATTTTGCAGAAGTGGTGAGACCTTAATAAAATGAAATCTGCATACCAAAAACTCAATCACATTCAGAAAAAACAGGACCAAAAATATATGAATAATTATCTATGTCATAAGGCCACAAAATGAGTCCTTTTATGCTTAGCGCAAAGTATAAAGGCAGCCGCGTAGCAGAGGAGCACAATTGACATTTTTACATAACATTACATTTTATCCTCAAATTAACCTGATCACCCGTATTTATTTATGCTCCAACTTTATTAATTTATAAATTTATATAATTTAATTTGTAATGATAATGTTGAACATAAAATGTAAACTAAACAAATTAGTGCAAATTATGAGTAATTTAAGCTCTTGGCGCTAACTTCCCAACTAAATAGGTCATTGACGCCATTGTTATCTGAAGGGAAGAAAACTCAAGAATTATATAAACATAATAGTGCTGATTGAACATAATAATATTTATGGGCCTTGAATGATCACTATTTCTGTGTCAAATTTTGATGACAATAACATTTCAATCATAGACTGCTTGAATATAAAGTATTATAAATTAAACAGAGTGTAACATTACCAAATTTATGTCCTCACTAAGTTATCTTAAGTTCCCTAAGTCACATCTGCTTAAAAAAATAGATTTTGAATAGGTACTTTGTAATCCAAGGTCTCAATCCATAATCTGTACCCAATTATTGTACAAATTCCTTTAATTATTATGCCAGGTTGCTCAGTTACATAATTATGTACCATTGACCTTATGGGTTTTTAACATTAAAAATTACATATCTGAGCAAAATTTAATGTCAGAACTAACCAAAGACTAACATAGGGAAAACATAATATATCTTGCAATCACTAAATAAATACTAAGAACCATATTGTTCTGTCTCACTTTTTATAGGTTTGAAAGTATAACCTCCCCTACCATCTAAATGCAATACATATTCGTGATGTTGCCACAAAGATTTTCTGTGAGAGACTGTCAGTAAAGTTATACCGACTTCCCTGCAATAACTGTACATGCTCCCTTCAACATCTACTGAAACTGCGCTAGTGCATTCGTCCAATATAGCAAACTGCGGTTTGTGATAGAATAATCTGGCCATAGCAACCCGTTGTTTTTCTCCGCCTGATAAAATGTCCAACCAATCCGCGACTGCGTCCAATCCACCTTCTCTTTCTAGCAAATAACTTAATTTAACTCTATCTAAATGTTCAGTGAGTTTTACATCCGTAGTGCCTCTTCTGGAAGCTTCGGCACTACTATGAGGATAAGTTAGTTGATCTCTAAGACTACCAAGAGTCATGTAAGGCCTTTGGGGAATGTAGAACAGTTTTCCTCTAGGAGGTTTAGTAACTTCTCCTCCAAATGATGGCCATAATTCTCCTAAAATTCTGAACAGAGAAGATTTGCCTGATCCATTAGGGCCACAAACTAACACATTCATCCCGCATTTAATTTCAAAAGTTATTTCTGGAATAAGTACATCTCCATTTGGTGTTACCAAGGGTACTTTATTGAATTTAATTATATGATTTTGGAAGATTAGTTTTCCTCCATTTGGTGTCAACTTATCTGAGCCAGTCACCATAGTTCTGACATATTTGCCTTGATTCAATTCCTCTAAGACAGTCCTTAATTGAGTTACTCTAGAGGTAAAACCTGCCAATCTTGTCAAGTCTCTGCCAGCAAGTACTAATCTTCCAATCGCTTCTGCTAGTTTTACTAGCATTCTACCATACGTATAATATAATCTTGATCGTTCGCTATGACTTTCTCTGCCCAATCTTCCTGATAAGAATGGCATAGAAACTGCCCAAAATCCTACAATACTAGCAAAATATTTTGCTACTAAATTATCAACAATTCCCATTAATACTCTAAACCTAAGGAAGTTTCTAAGGTGAGTCTGCAGCTTCTTGTAGCTGGCCAGCAATGTTGTTTTTTCTCTCAAATTACCATTATAAAAAGCTATTTCTTCAGAGTTAGTGATTAAACGTGAGTTTATATGTCTGAATTCCCCTTCTAATTTTTGTTCACCTGCTGTCAATTTAGCTGTTGGTTTTCTTAAATGAGTTAAAGCTAGTCCTGATAAAAACAAGTAGCCTAGCATAAGTCCTGGAGTAGCTCCGCCCATGGTGGATGATAACTTATAGACATAAATACCAATATCTAGCATTGGCTTAGCAGTGTTACAGTACAAATCAGTGATTGCTTCACAAAATTTGTCAATATCCGTGGTCAATAGTTGGTCTGGATTTGCAATTCTATTATCCAAATTTGAGATTCTGTAGTAAGTAAAATTCTTCAGATATTCATCATAGAGACGCTTCGTGAGGTTTGCTCTTAGGCGGATTTTGAGATCACCAATGGCGTATTTTAAAACATTGTTGACGCAGGCGATCAGGGGCAGACTGATGCAGAACTTCATGAGCCTTTGATAAAAAAGGGTTTTGTCCATTGACACAATCGCGCTAAAAAAGAAATAGAAAAATAATGAGATCAGATTTTTATAGAATTTTTTTTAAATTCAAGATAGACCTCTCTCAGGCAATCCTATAGAATTATTAAAGGCATTAGAAATGTTACTCTTTGTGTTTCCTACATCAACAAAAATAATTTTAGCAGGCGATTTAAAGGATGATTTTAATAGTGATATCTTCAAATGGTTAGGATATTCTAATCTTCAATAATTTCTAACGAACCCTAACAATTCACTTATCACTCAAGCGAAAACAATCAATTATATTGCTGAGAGCAATCTTATGTACAAAGTACGTTCCGTTTGGTTTTATCTGATCACCAGACCTTGGTGGCAGAGATAGTGCTATACCACAACAGGCAGAAAATAAAATTCAATACTTTTTTAGGGGTAGATATAGGCTTTGTCAATAAGTTCCTGTAATTTTTATTTATTTTTTAAATTTAGTTTTGTTGCTTTCAATTATTGTAGATTGGTGATTGGCGGTGATCTAAGAGAAATGCAATAATTTAGACTGTGATAATGTGATGCAATCTTAGCACCCAATAATCTTATCGGATTTGCCAGCTGACTATTATTTTTTTTCACTGGTATTATTAGTTACAGGTTTACAACAGATTTTGACAAGAGAGATTATTCAACTTCAAATTCTGTAAATTGTATTAATAGATTATAATAAAAGTGATGGTAATTTTATCACACCATCTACATTTTCGTGAAAAATACGGTTATGAGAGGAAATATAGTAAACTATAAACATTTTTTATAGCAATTTCTGTTACCAGGGTTTCTACGCATATTCATTATTATAGCCACTTTTCTGCTTTCTACAAGAAAATATTGGCTGCGCTATCATTAAAAATTTTATTATGGTGAACCAAACAGCTGCCACCACTAACATACAAGGCACTGAATGGGAACGAGTCGCCATACTATCCATAATGAATACATCTATCCTTATGCAAATTAAAAATCCAATTTTGTCATAAGCATAAGTACATTACTTAAGTGAAAATTAACGTTTACTCTGAACATTTCCTAGCTAATTAAAATTACCTATGATCTCCTTTATCATTATATAAATTGACTGATGATTAGGTGAAAGTTCATTTTCACGATCATTACTTAAAGTTTACATGAATTACAAAATGCATTTTTGATAATAATTATTTTAATGAAATACCTATACATTATTATTAAAAAAAAAACTTCTGCTGGGTTTTCACTTTTATTTCATTGCTACGTGATTATGCCTAATAGTCGAGCTAATAGTATTCCAAAAATTAAATATTTATTGTAACTAAGTAATAATTAAAAGTATTGGTAAAAAAGTAATTATCTCGGTAGTTATGCAAAACCGTGATAAAACGATAAGTACATGCCTTATATTTTAAAAATGAAATACCATACCAACACTTGACACAGACCGTGCAGCATTAGACTGATTTCCCCAGAATTAATACTTTAATGAAGATGAGAAACTCTCAAAGAAATTAGGTTTTTTTAAGTTTTCATGGCAAAAACACTTTTGATTTATGTGAGACTGTGAGTTGGAGGCTATCAAGCAATACTGAAGAGAAAGTAGAGAAATATATTATCTGGATGAAACATGGCTGAATGAAGGTTACACAGTTACCAAGATAAGGCAAGCTAATAACACTGAAAGTGTCCGGCTTTTCTAGAAGAATTATTCACCTACAGAATTGCAAAAATATGGAAAGACCCAAATCCTGCTTTAAAGTGAAAGTTAAACAAAATTGGGGCCAAAGCTGGAGATAGTATTTATTAAAAGCCTATTTTTTGTTGCTTTATCACAGGAGAGAAAAAAAACACTGGCCAAAAGTTAATTTAGGTTATTAAGTATAAATAAAACTCACCTTTCTATTAATGTGCCATGACTGATCATCCACAAATCGCAAATTGATCGGGCCACTAAACTGGTGGCAATCAAAAAGAACATGCCGCACTCTGGAGTCGCCCATCCTGGCACGACTATTTTGAACAGCTGTATGAGTTGTATGAACAATTTCTTATCAACTTGGACTTTCGGTTGGGCATTTCCTTCTTTTTTCTCACTTATTAGATATTTTAGTTCTTCTTCTTCATCTTTTTTCACCCTTTTGCTGTAAAAAAAAAATAATGAGAGGAAGTCGAGGAATTTATTTCAAATTGCGAAATTTTCAATACAATATAAAAGTCTCGATAAAAGTGATTGAAATGGAAAAATAAATAGAAAAAGGTCTCAACCATTCGACCGACAGTTATGAAAAATTTTTGTTAGAGTTGGCCTAAATTTAAATATAAACTAGGTAAAAAAAACTTTGGGTATATTTCCCAATTTTGCAATAAGAAGAGAAAATAGACCACTTAGTTTGTTAAACATTAAGTGTGAAGCGTTATCATTATTGTAATTAGGTGTTGCAGATAAATATTCAAGATCAAGTTGATTCCAGGGATATCAATATTTCTATAAATTCTTCTGAGATTTAATGAAGCTTTTTCACACACAAGAAAACAAATTTCAAAATAAATGTTCAGGTTTTCAATTTAGAAGAAGTTATATGAAATTCCTGCTTTTGACAATGCATAGTGAGTACCTTATATCTTTTTATTAAATTAAATATAGGTAGGTACCTATGTGTTGGCCGCACCACTTGGATTTTCTTTTCAATAATCAATTTATTATTAGTTTCTGCTCCAAAAATATTGTTAATTTTTTTTGATGACGTCTATGACATCCGTCAATTTTTTTTTTTTAAACTTGCAAAAAAACCTGATAGCTACCCGATACAAACTTTATTTGTTCTTAGATTATTTAAAAAAATGTTTTCCCCTGACCTTGTGTTGTATCTCTCAAGGTACTTATATCTCTGTCTTGAAAGATAATTTCTGACCTTGTACAAATTTGCAATTATTGGAATTAACATAAAATCTAAAAGATGCTCATTATGCTGACACCAGTTGAGATTTTCATCCAACAATAGTCCTAAGGGTTTAGTAGAAATTTAATTATTTTTTGTTGAAAAATCATATATTTAGTTTTTGTGTATTAATTTTTAGTTCATTGCATGATAACCAATTATTGCACAGAGCCAGGTCGGTGTTTATGAGTTGATGGAGATCATACACATTGAAACCAGTATAAATCAATACTTTGGCATCAGCAAATGTATAGTAATGAGGCCCAATACATAATAAAGGTGCCAGTACAGACCCCTGTGGTACTCTATACTAGTTTGACTTGAATTCCCTCTTAAATTCACCCATTTGGACATACTGACTCCTTTCATTCGCATAGCTCTGTATTAATTAATCCATACATTATTCCTCGTATACCTAAATTGCTTAGTTTTTCAAATTGTTTGTTTTCAGGGTCAGTGGTTAATGTTATACTGTTAACGATATCTACCAATACCAATGCTGGATTTGAGTGGTGGGTGCCTGATGCAGTTATTTTGCAGGGGCTCCTTATCCACCGTATTTTAATTGACAGAAGCCTTTTTAATGATTTACACAGCAATTATTATAAATATAAGTATATTTTTTTAGATTATTTTTCAAATAGGTAGATAAAATACATATTTTATATAATATAGACACACAAGCTTATCTGCTGGCATTTTGACCTCGATTTTGACTTCTTCTGGTTTCCTTATTTTTAATTCATACAAAAATTCAAATTTCTCCTCTAAAAATCTGTCTCGAAATCTGTATGCTTCAAATTTATGTTCTGAACAAGAGTTGTTGAGTTTATCAATTATAGGTTAAAAGTTATCAATTTTCAAGCCTGACTTCCATTCAACACTACCTCACCTTTAAGACTCTCATCACTTCCTAGTTTTCGATTTCGTATTCTTGAATACTCAGAGAGTGTATGAGCCCTTTTTTCAATCTTCAAATGGTTCACGAAGGCTTAATACTTGGCTTAATACAAATGAGTTAAGGAAGCGGACATTGTACGAGAAAGTAATCATAAAAGCAGTATTTAGAGACTTTAATTTTTTCAAATAGAGTGTCAGCTTCTTCTCAAGTATTTCTCTCTCACAAAATGTAACAACATCTCTTGGTTTGCTTATTACATCATCATTATATTTTAAGGTGTCAATTCAATATTTTTTGTTTTATTATTTACCAAACTATTTATGTATTTACTCCCTGTTCCATTACATTTTTTTTTTGAAACCATATTTTTTAAAGTCTTGATTTTATTGTTGACCTTATTCTTTAATCTTTTGAACTCATTTTCACATTCTTGATCATCCCTCTATTTGGTGTTTATTCAATAATTAATCTCCTATAACTTTTTGAAAAAAAAAAAAGTTTAATTTGACAGATGTCATGGCATTCATGAACATTTTTGACAGAAACTGAACAGATTAAAAACTAAAAACTTCAAAAATTAATTATTGATAAAAATTCCATTTGGTGAAGACTTTACTGATCCCACATACTGTATGTATTAGGTACCATATCGTCACCAAAAGTCTCTGGGACAAAAATAATTCATTTAATCTCCTAGACTAATTCTACCATCATTCAGTTAATTCCTAGTTTGACAAATATTTGACACTAAAAATCATAGGTATAATAGGTAGTACAAGAGCTAATATAATGCTGTCCCAGTTAATTTTGGTGACGATGGTACATACTGGGATTCACAAAAAAGTCTTCTTGTCTCTGAATAACCTCAGACATAGCATAATATATTAAAGTGAAACTTTGCTAGAGAAAACAGGAAACTTTCCTAAAAAAATTATTTAGGTATAAGCTCGGGTATAAGTATGCTGACTGAGATTAAGTAAAATACTAGGTATATTATAAGAGATAGTTCCTAGTTCCTATGTTCCGATTTTCATAATGAAACTTACCTGATGGTTTTAAGATTTTTCTGTTGCCTTTGAGACCATAAAAGCCAAGCAGCAGCCACTGTTCCAGCTCCAGCAAGAGCGTTAGATTTAGTTAGGAATTTACTATAATTAGGGGCCATCACTACCACATACTATCACCAGTGAGATAATTAAATTCAACTCAATACAACACCAAAATGACTAGACAGTAATAGGTTAAAACAGACAATATAGCCTGTCGGCGACCTTTTTAAACTTTGTCCAATGATTATTAATTATTAATATTTCGGCCTTTGAACAAAACAGAGGATGATATGAACGGAAACAAGTGGGAAAGGGACGAAACGTTAATGTTGAAATATTACGTCATTCGCGTTGGAAAGCGGAATAGCAAGATTTCTCCTTTTCATAAAAATCATTAGCCATATAACATGAACAATCTAATTACAATTGGTGGGATTTGTGGTGGCTGGCAAGCAGCAATCTTCAGCTAAGTTTTTTTTTCCAAATTTCACATCAATGTTTGGCTGATTTTACTCGGAAATAATCAAACTTATCCGAAATTTGATTGCAAATAAATTATTCATAGTATATTTATTTATTTAACATAGAACTATGACAGTAGAAAAAAATAGAAAAATATTCTTCATACATAACCCCAAAAAAATCAAACGGGTTTGTTCCGGTTTGTTCGGTGTTCGGTTTGTTCGGTTTGCAATAAGAAAAATAAACGTTCGTGACGTATACAGTTTGTGACAAGTCTGAGTTAAATTTCTTTTGCCCTTTTGCTCTACGCGAGGTTTCTGTCCTCGCTGAGCTGGCCTTGATGTCGCAGAATCTTTTATCTTAAGCACTCCAAGAGCATAATTTATTCATAATTTGCTCTAATTTGTGCGCTCTACATTTTTTGTCCAATATTTCATAAATCATTGCATACAAAATGAAGTACGAGCACAAATAGGTATAGATAATCAGTTTATGTGCCTGTACGCCCACACGAGCGATCATATTCCGAGCATTGAAATGTGTTCCGAGTAGCCCAATATTGATTTGACGTTTGAAATAAACATATACCTACCCTACGTCGTAAATTTCTGGCGACGTTTTATTTTTCCAAAAATGGACTACTTGGCCTAATGGCATAAAATAACTATATTTTTTTTCTTGTCAGGAAGAATTGCAAAAATTGACCAAACACGGTACAGGATTTTCTAGCTTTCAGCGGTGCTGTTGCCCCGCGTTAGAACGATTTTGGAATCGATACAACTCCTTTATAGTTGTATTTCTTCCACACCTAGGAAGAGTTCTGGAACAGCTCCGGGGCGTTACGCGCTTATTCCTTAGGAAAAGTGTTTTTTTCACCCGAGTGCTCAAGCCCGAACTCAAACCAATGCACGAAAGCCAGCGCATCTGTTCCTTTCAAATCGGGGTCGACTAACATCAGAGCGAGTAGCTCTAGTGTTCAAACTCTTGAAAGGAATACAACTATTTGACACCTACGCTAACTTTACTTTTTAAAGTTGGATTCGTTAAAAGGTCTGTTCTGTTCGCAAGTTCATCAATTGGTTCGCACAGAAATCACAAACCCAGTCAGAATTTCAGGTTAAAACTAGTTTTATGACTGTTTTCAACCAATGAAATCCTCTCTGACTAGTTGTATTCCTTTCAAGAGTTTGAAACACTCGAGCTACTCGCTCCGGTTTTCAGTCGCCCCCGATGATTTGCAGGGAACAGATGCGTGGCGCAGCAAACAGTTTTCGAAAGGAATAGGCGCGTGAAGCCCCGGAGCTGTTCCGGAGCTCCTCCTAGGTGTGAAAGGAATACAACTAATGATTTGTGATTTCTGTGCGAACAGACCTGAAGTGTTTTCTCGCGTGTATGTTTTGGAACATTTTTCAAAACTGGTTTAAACAGTGTCACCTGACGTCATAATTTCTTGGCGCGAGAAAATGGTTTTAAAACCTGGATTGGATTGTATTTGGAAACGGTTTGAACCAATTTTGATGTGACCTCACGGGCTCATCGCCCCCAAAAAAATTCTCTATAGGATGTGGAGCTCCGCCATTTTTACAAAATGTCCGGCATTTTTAAAAATATCGTAAAATGGCTTTATTTTTCAAAAAAAAAAAACTGTTTCTTCTTTGACTTAAATAAAACTTACTTATAGCGAATTCTATTGGTAGAACCAGAGCAGAAAAAGTGTATTTTTATCTCCTTCTTATACAAGCTGGTAGAAAAACACACTCAACCATAACTTGTGATACCTCGATTTCCACTAATTTTGGAACGAGGAATCCATTTCTTGCGATAAAAATATCATACATTTGCCATTTCGCTTGTAGGCGCCCTTATTTCAATATGGCGACCCTAAATTTAAAATAGTCTTGAACTTATAGCTTATGGGGTATCGTTTTATAGGTATTTCAACCTTAGAGCAGGTAAGGCGCTGTCCTACGGACATAAGGAGTAGGAACGCGCCATTCTGCTTATGAAACTAAAGTGAAGCCAAGTTGTTGGCAGGTGTTTGGCAGCAAAATACAGGTAAAGCATTGAATTGCCTATATCGCCATTTTTTTGGTGCCAAAATACCTGAAAAAAAAAAACGGTTTCATTTCCCAACTCCATGTTACTACTCCTCTTTACCTGTACCTGCTCTAATATTTCAACCAACTAAATCAAATTTTGATAATACAGCAAACGTAGAAGCTTCCGTTTTAATTTTGGAGGCCATTTTAAATATGGCGGCTTTCAATTCAATGTACAATATACTTGAAACTCACACGAACCTTGAAACAATTTAAACCAATTTTGGTAACAAATAATGCTGAAAGTTGATTTCTTTTGGGTGTTTGAGTTATTTTTAGCTTTAAATTGCTTCATTCTTGCAGCTCAGAAGGGTCTGATCTAAAAATAAAACTTTAATGTTAATAATCAAAACTATGATTATAGCAATCTCAAGTACATTTTCACCTTTGATTTTCACAAGCTCCACGACAATTCCCACAAGCTGTGGTACAGGGGAGTTGAATTTGGCAGCAGCACTTTCCCAGATATTTAAAAGACTTCCATATCTCGGGAAGCTCTGTCCAATTGGGAGTCCAACCGCCTCCTATCTTAGCCGCAATTCGCTGGACTCGGCAATTCTTTATTATTATCAAGATCCCGACCCCAAATTTGACCAGCTTGGTACGCTGCCCTAAGCGTGCGCTGTGTCAATGCTGCTAGAAAGTGGGGAAGCATATTGAAATTTGATCTTGATTGATATTAAATGATATCCCACGACTATTTAGATAATTGGTAGCTGCCATTCTTTAAAATGGTCCCAAAATAAATAAAAATAAAAAACTGAAGCTAAAGTATAATTTATATTTAATGTTGTCACAATACAATATGTTATGTTGTACCAAATATTAAATATAATTTTAACTAATTCAAATAATAATCTATAATAATTTACCTAACAATTGCGGAAAGTTATACTTTTCCGCACGCAAAAACGCCGCGCAAGCCGTAAGTGCGGAAAAGATACTTTACGCTCGCGTGTGTGATAAAATATTACAGTTATGACTTGGAGATAAATTTGAATTTGAATAATAACTGCTTACCATTTGGGGCTTTCGGAGATCCATTTGATTTTCCAACAGGCTGAACAGTTTGGATATGATGTGTTTGGATTGATGCGGTAATACTACAAGCGTTTGTTTGTCACATAGAAGGCATAAACCTTTCACGCCCTTCATGATAGTACTCACAGAACTCATGATTTTAAGACGAAATTAATTGTAGGTATAGGAACAGACAACAAATAGACCGTTACTCTAAGCGTCCGCAGATCGACTTTCTCCATGGCAACAGTTTAAATTTAACGTAAACGTAACTGATTGAGAAATTGGGAGGGAGGAAAGTTTGGTTTCAATGGTTTCACAGATGTCGTTCTTTCATCTTCCGGTCCCGGCAAAGGAGACGCATACCGATTTCTTTTGAAGTCTTTCCTCGCGTCTCAAATGTTTTAAAACGTTTTTCAAAACGATTGGATTGAAACAATGTCACATGACGTACGTGAAATGGTTTCAAAACGTGGATTGGATTGTATTTCGAAACGGTTTGAACCAATTTTGATGTGTACAAAATTTACATTTCTATATAATTATGATTTACATTCTTATATACCTACTAATATTGAAGAAAAAGAAGGTCAAAATTGGGATATTACTTATAATCGGGTGGTTTATTATAATTTGGATTGGAAAAGTCACCTTTGGGGATAAAGGGCAGTGTGAATAAAAACTAAGCTCCCACTTTTAGTATTTAAGTGATAGCTTCAGCTTTTACTAGGTAGATTTAGCTTCTGCTAATAGCATTTGCTGAAATTGAAGTGAATAACCTTTTCCTTTTACTTACTAGCAAAAGTTAGATATTTTAAGCATTTACTGAAAATATACGGATATTCGTGAAGTAGCTATAGAATTCTCAAAAAGTGTATGTTTGCGAGTTTTTATACTGATAACGGTGATGTTTATATTTTTATAAACGGGAATGGTATGAGGTTGGTTCCAACACGTCAAAAACCGCCCCATGAACGGTCTAGAAACCACTCTGTATACCTACGAATTTCGGCTTCTACGCACAAATTTTCGGCTTTGCGCAGAATCGTACGGCTTCTTGATGTGTTGGAACAAAGCTATGACCGGCGTGTGAAAACATTGACTGAAGTTAATAATAATAAGGTACTTTCACCAGTACAGTTGAGATACAGCGGATGTAAATTTCCTGAACGCCCGACACTTCTGCGCATGTCTAAAGCATAAGTTGAGTTGGTAGGCGTTAATTTTTACCGCTTAGAAAAATCGGCAGCAGCGGACAAAAAACGGCTTTTGCTGAGCGCCGCTGAAGGCGATTGGGTACGGGGTACGATCACCAGCACTCAACTGTTGCAACAGTTTAGTACCTAGTTAAAACGATCGCGTTCAGCGGTGCTCAGTAAAAACCGCTTTTTGTCAGCTAACCGTGCGTTCGTTATTTTGGTCTGTGTTCTCCGAGCTTGACTTTACCGTTTGTTAATTCAAAAAGTGTACTCGGTGCAGGCTCATTCGCGTTCATTTATTAAAATTTCTGACACTTCTATATAGCGTTCAACTGCTCTGTTCGCTCGCTGGTCACGTGATTACGGCTCCGCTCAGCACGCTCTGCTCTTTGAGCTAAATACCGAACGCAAGGTAAGTGGTAAAAATTTACGCTTACCAACTCAACTTATTGAATTGTCATTTGTCATAACTCTCAACTATATGCGTTCAGGAAATTTACATCCGCTGTATCTCAACTGTCCTCAACTGCTTTACACTGCATATTAGCTGCTGCGTACCTACTGGTGAACGTACCCATTCTTTTCCCAACTACTCAACTGGTGGCAACAGTTGAGTGCTGGTGAACGTACCCCTTTTAAACAAGTAGCCGTATCAAACGCCAGCGCTTCAAGGTGAAAATGAATAGTGATTCAGACAATTCTATAAGTGATTTGTTGGAGGAGGAGGTTCATGAGAAATTTTGAGCCAACCTCAAATTGACAGACTGTGGTATTCTTCGGCACGACTTTCTTTTCTTTCGGAAGAAAATTTCGCAGACCTCATATTCATAAACGCAGCCATTTCTGCCAAACATTTAGGCACTACTAAAATGTTTAATCCAAGGTTTACCAGGCTTGCAAAACTGTAAGCTTTTCCTTCATATAATTAGGAAGTGCTTATTTTTATTCACACCATTTAAAGACAATGCTAAAAACTGTAGCTTTTACTAATTGAATTTTTAGTTAAAGCTAATACTCATTTTTATTCACTGCAAAGTATATAAGTATTTGCTTAGGAAATGCAAGCTAAGGCTTTTACTAAATTTTTATTCACACTACCCAATGACCAGTATGATTAAAAAGAGTATTTGTTTGTACTTCAAGTATAAGAGCTTTTACTTCCTAATAATTTGTGGAGTTTAATCTTTTACATGAAGTAAATTCTTTTATGGGAAGTGTTATTTACTTAGGTTAGAAGTATAAACTAGTAGTAAATACTAGGACGTGTTTAACCTCAAATAGTATCTTTTTGTTTCTTTCATGGGTACAATCTATCGCTCCTATTTCCCCAAGTATCGTCCATCCATCTTTAGCTAATTCAGCTAATTCAACATAGCATTTTGAGGAAAACAAATCTAAACGATATTTCTATTCCACACAATTTTTTGTAAAACTTCTTTAATTACTTTTGACACGGTTGTTTGATGTGCTCCGACATCTGCATCAACTGCTTGTTGAAATCCAGGATCACTTTGGGTCGGTATTATAATGTCCGGCTTACCGATGGTTGAGTTTCAACCGAGGTTTCAGTTTTCATATTTCCATCCTTTTCTTACCATTATAATTATTAAAAAAAAAAAACATTTTTAACGCCAATCAAAGCAATTGATGTGAATTTACTCTTCAGTAGCTTCTCAAGAACTAAACCGAATATTTCCAAATGGAGGAAATACTAGAAATCATTAGTAATTTCTGCAGTATAAACTTCATTACTATATTGAAGTAGATAGAGCAAAGTATAAAGTAATTGCTTCTAGTACCTACTTACTTTAAGAGTTATGTGGAGTAAATACTATAATTTTTTGAAGTGAAAACTACAAAATGGAGCATTTACTTGAAGTAAAAGCAGATACTCTTTTTAATCATACCGCCCAATAGGGCAATCCAACGACCTGTCAAAATGAAATTCAAAATGGAGGCCAATGCCTTTTTATTTAAAAAAATGCCGTTTTATTGCGATTTTTGATTTGTATAAAGTCTGTAAAGTGTTGATTTTTTGGAAAATGCATACGTCATGTATTGTACTTAGTTGTGGGAGCCGTTCTAAACGCGAGAAAGTCAAGTTTCATGCCGTTCCTGCAGAAACAAAACACAGGTTTTTAACGGAGAAAAATGATTTGTCTGTACTTTGTGAGGGCTTCATGGATTGTAGCAAAAGAGAAAAAATCTTACGAAATCCATATTAAAAAACCAAAAAGTCTCTCTACATAAATGGTGTATGGATCCAAGCCATTTACTATGCTCCACATCAGCTTGTATCGATGTCGATAACTTGAATAGCAGACAAATAAAATAAACATCAGGATCTAAACATGAAATAAATCCTGTATAGTATATACCTACTTAATTGTTTAGTAGGTAAAGTTTTGTCACAAAGAAATCATAACTTTTGCAATCATTCGGGTTTTCCACTAATAATTTTTTAAACTAACAAGTTTCCATCTTAAAATACGAAAATTATCCTTCCAAACACTAGAAAATCATCTAAAAACACCACAAAATACACAAAAAACAGTTTTTTGATGAAAAATGTCACGGTTGTTTGAATTGAATTTATGGCGCCAATTTTTTGGCATTGACCATGCATTGACCGCCATTTTGTTTGGATTAGGCATTCCAGGTTGACGTCATAACCGATCCGCCATTTTAGCTGAGGGGCAAGCAAAAGCCAAACATAACCAGATTTATTGTTATTTTCAATGCAAACCGAGAATTTTTGAAGTATTATTTTGTGAAGATGCCTTTGTTTTGTGGCGTTTTTGGGTGCTCCAATAGAGCTGCAAGGGATAAAGTGAGGTTTTCTAGGATTCCAGCAGCATTTAAAGATCGAGGGGATCGCATAAACGAGCTATTAAAAAAACAACGGAGTATGTGAATTAGATGCCTCAATAGGGGAGATTTGCATATAACGTTGTTAAAAATGCTCGAATTTGTTCGAAACATTTTGTTAATGGTAAGTTTTATGACTGTCTTGTTAAAATACAAAAACTCTTCATCTCGGTACATCAAAAAAGTTGTTTATGTTCTACAAGTATAGGTAACTTTTAATACCTTAGGTAGTCCAGCAGAATTTGAGGATACAAACAATCCGGATTAGGTCCCCAGTACAAATTTAGGATATACTACGATAATTGATAGAAGCCCAGAATGAACAAGCCAGTAAGCTAAGCTACATGCCAGATCTGTGCACTGATCAGAACAGTCAAAACGTTTGAGGAGTCATTCTACCACAAATTTATTTTGCTAAAGTTTATTTGTAAGGTTGTTAGTATCAAACTTTTTTATTTTTTAGACAATTTATGGCTGGTTTATACAACATTTGCATAGTCGTAATCATAATCATAGTCGTCTTAGTCTTAATCATAATCACAATTTTAGGAGGCGTTTATCAATGTCATAAGCATAAAATAAAATCAACTCTAACCCGACTTTTTGTAGGGAGAGTTTGTCTACTTTTTGCGAATCGAGCTCATGTATTTACTTTTAATACTTTTTCAAAGTTTCACAAAGTGTGGAAATTAAAATTCTGCAAAGGAAAACCATACAAGTAATAGGCCTGTCCTATTTATTTTTGAGTTTTGCGCCACATTATTCAAAGACATGTGGAAGCTTGATGGAGACCAATTTTTTGAATACTCTAGAATGATTCAAGATCAATTTAAATACACACAGATTTAAAATAGCAGATTTGAATTGTTTTTCTCCGTAACAGCTGATAATGGCGCTTGCGCAGTTTGGATCTCGTCTTAGTCACAATCATAAAAGTTAAAAGTTGCCAAATTTGAGTTTTGCTTATGCTTATGCTTATGATTATGATTTGTGTATAAACGGTTCCATAAGAAAATATTATTTTAACTCTTATGACTAAGACTATGATTATGATTACGACTATGCAAATGTTGTATAAACCAGCCATTAGATTCTTAAGCATTATTTTTGTTAATAAATTGTTTGTTTACTATTGTTGAATTGAAATGTAAAGTGGCATGTCTGTAAATAAAGATTCATTCATTCATTCCATTCATTCACAAAAACTGAAAACAACTTAAAATTTATTGAACAAATCAAAAAATGCAAAAATTCACATACTCAAAAAACATTGTAAACAATTGATCTATAGACTTTGTTTGCCCCTCAGCTAATATGGCGGACCTGTCAAAAGTCACGTGACCTGGAATGCCTAATTGCCCTATATTGGGATATTCAGACATGTTAGGTAATATTTTTTCTTATAGGTAACTATATTATAGTAACACGATAAACGATAAACTAAAAATCAAAAAAAAAAACAATCAAAGAGTGCTTTGATTTCGAAAACGTACGTCGCATTAACTGTTTTTTCTACGACCCGTTATTTGGTTTTACAGAACAAATCTGAAGCCCCCATCTCGCCAAATCACCAGTTGTGACGTGGCCAGCATGTCGTTTCTCGTTTTGACGTAGGCTGTTTGCACCACAGGTTATGATTCCGCGGGCTTTTCCTTTATGCATACTTGGTTTTATGGCCGTTCCCACCAACTATTTTAGGGGAGCCTAAACGATAAGTACCTATTTCTAAAACTGACGTTTCTCCATGTAAAAATGTTTTTACATGGAGGGAATATTTATCATTTAAGGCTCCCCTAAAATAATTGGTGGAAACGGCCATTATGGATAAGTATTCCCTAATATGACAGTTTTCCATAGAGAAATGTCTGTTTAGGGAATACTTATCGTTAAGGCTCCCCTAAATTAGTTGGTGGAAACAGCCATAATTAACATGTAAAACAACTATTTTTCAGATATCGTTTGCATTTTCCTATTTGCCAATTATGTTAAACAAAATTAAACAATATTTTTCATCATAAATTTAAATTATAAACTACGACTGCTAGTGCAAACAGCTGACGAATTAGTTATGACGTCGGCAATGGTGACACACTAGTATGGCAGCAATTACCAAAAACTAAAAACGAGGCCGATAAGCAATCATTAGTAGTGTGTATTATCCTTGATTGGAACTAGCATGAACACGCCCCGCAACTGTCTCTGTTGACAGTGACACTATTTGTTAGTTGCCGTTCGGTCTATCGTATTTTTTGGTCTTGTAAAAACAAATTAAAGTGTAAACATTTTCAAATTTTCTCAAGTAAACAAGTTACAGATAATTTCAAATTAACAATGGATTCCTCAGTATCACAGCCTCTGTCGCCCAACGCGAAATACCATTTTAAGAACGAATATGATGATTATACAGAGAACAATGCTAAACCTCATATCGAAAATCATACTGTAAGTTAATTTTTTATTTAGAAGTATTTTGTATTCATGGTTGGTTATTGGTTATATTTTCAGGTGAGCGCCACAACGAAAATAACATCTAAATTGATAAAAAAATGGGAGTCTACTTTGGATGAAGTGGAAAACTGGACTTCCACTGATTCCACAGTCTACACTGGCACGGCAGGTGTGGGGCTGCTATTTTTCAGAAAAGCTCCTAATGATACACAAAATTTAAGGGTAAGTTACCAGCAGCTATGTACATAAAAATAAATAAATATATTTTCAATAAATGTGAAAGTAGGAACATTTCCCAATAATAGGATATAGGATTCCTAAAAATTTCATGTTTTTCAACCCCCTCAAAGATAAACTAAAGAGATCTACCTATGAATGGCATCCCTGCAAATTCTCAATATAGGACCAAACAACAATTACATAAATACAATAATGATAACAATTTTTCAAATCAGTATTTAAAATATTGGTAACAAAAAACATAAGCTAATTTACTTAAGATATTCAACAGTGGTGTATTATAATACTTATTTAATTTTTTCGAACCTAAAAGTAATTAGGTACTTGACCCTCGACTTGACCGTTTCTTAGAAATAGTTCAAATGGTTTATGAATTTTTACGACAATGACCTCCAGACGCGTCTCAGTATCACAGTCGTAAAAAGCCGGCCACAAACGCAGTTATAATATCTGAACGTGCCATTCCAGGGCCACTCCATTGTGGCAACACTCCCATAAAGACCCTGTCTTATTAGTTTAGGGCGTCATTATTATGTTAGATATTAGTATGTCCATCAAAATTTTAAAATAAATTTAAATTACGTAGTGTTTTTTTTAAAAAGATGTCTTCAGAGTTTTTGAGATGACACATATACCCAAAATAACATATACATACCATATTAACTATTATTAAATAAAAAATTAAATCAGCAGATGCAACAATTAACAAATGATATCCAAAATAAGGAACTTCAGAAACAAATTAAGGACATTACTATGTACTATGTAAAACCATATGATTGAAACACATTTAATTTTCTAAGTTTTTTAAAATCCAGGTCTTGATTAGTTTTTGTCTCTAATTCGTCTGTCTGATCCAATATGAACCAAAACTGTATAATCTGCAAATGTGTTTGGCCTATATTGAACAGTTCATTTTGTCTTGTATATCGTGCAGTGGCGTGAATATTTATATTATCTAACGGGGGAGGACAATCAGTTAAACTATTTATAATAATAATAATAATAATAATAATAATATGTTTATTTACGGAACCAGCCATTTACAAATATAATGTAACAATATAAATTTAAACTAATTTAGCTAAAAATGATAATAACAAATAAATAAATAAATAAATAACTTAGGGCATACTAACATCACAGTAAAACAGTCTATTTTTCATTGCAGTTTTCAGTTGAGATAGACTAGAATTAAACATATCAATATTTGAACAATAAACATTACACAATTCACATGATCTATCTTCTAAGGTTTCTTTTTGTATGCTTCATACACATACATAAGTGAGTTGCTATTGCTAGACCCGTTCCTAAAATCCTTCCTCTTCTGTAGTGTAGAAAATAAACTTTTCACAATAACACATAAATACATATTGAAAATATCTGAGATTTTGCTCTGGAGAAGATTTTCCTCGCATTCACAAATATATACCTACCAATTATATTAACCAATTGTCACGCTAGATGATTATCATTTATTTATCTACTTTTTTGATGCTTTAATGAGCTTATACCAATTTCACCATGATTTTTTACTACATTGTTGTGAAATTAAAAATCAAATTGTTAACTTGACAATAAATAACCATTTAAGCCAGCGCGGTCCCATAAGGAACGTTGGTTTGTTTTCAAGCTACTGCTGTAGCAATTTGATCTTACTATTATCTTTTGTCACCCCTGTGTTTTATTAAATTAGATTCTGAATCGATAATTTAATTTACCTACTCACATTAACCGACATTCAAATTAGTTTTGTTTATTTAGAATATAAGAAAAAAATATCTGCAACTGGAACAACTGAAAAATAGAAGAATTACATTCCTCTGTGGTGATGCTGGCCCTTTATCATTAGCTGCAGTGATATCTTACAAATTAGAAGATAAGAAGATTTTTGATTTTTGTATAAGAAAGTAAGTTAATGCAAAGTTTAATGACACATTTGTATATAGAATATATTTTTAAATTTCAGACTAATGGCGTTCGTTAAAGTAGTGAAAAGCACTGAAGGTGAATTACCAAATGAATATCTTTATGGAAGGGCGGGCTTTTTATTTGCCTTACTTTATGTCAATAAACACGTTTCTCCGCCACCATTTGCTGAATCTGTAATCAGAAGTGTAAGATCCACATTCTATTTTATTTTTTTTTTGTAAGTTATTTTTTTTGTTTGTTCCAAATTTGTTTTTCTCTTTGGACATAAATAATACTCTAAAATTTTTTAGATTGTCAGTGCTATATTGTTCTCTGGTCAGAAAACAGCAAAAAATTTGAAAATGGATAAAGACTGGCCACTTATGTTTGAATGGCATTCCAGTAAATATCTAGGAGCAGCTCATGGGCTATCAGGCATTATTTATCTGCTTTTACAAGCCAGACAATATCTTACTGAAGAAGAATTAACAACTATAATTAAACCTACCATTGCTTCTCTGTCAAAAACAAGGTAAACGATCGATGGAAAAATAATACACACATTACAATAAACTGAATTTTTTCTTTTAGATTCCCAACAGGAAATTTCCCTTCTTCCATTGGGGCAGGCAAAGACAAATATGTGCAATGGTGTCATGGAGCACCAGGCTTTTTGTATATGTATTGTGAAGCGTACAGGGTAAAAATTATCCTTATGTTGATTTAAATGCTCATACTTTTTTTTATTATAGGCTTTTGGAGACACTCATTATCTCTATGCAGCTGAAAAATGTGCCGATGTCATTTGGTTCAGAGGTATTGTGAAAAAGGGCTATAGTTTATGTCATGGTGTTGCTGGGAATGCCTACTGCTTTCTGGAAATGTTCCAAACTACAAAGGTGAACAATTTGATTTAATTTATTTTTATTTTCCTTGTGTAGCCTCATTTTCAATGTCTGATGCCTTTTATGTAATAAGTAAAATGATAGAGGGAACTGTTTTGTTCTTTAGACATCCAGGCAATGAGGTTGTTTTGGATTAGTTTTTGAAATATTGAGGCCTACTTTTATCAAAGGCGATTTCGGTTCTCCTAGTTAAAGCTCTTGGAATTCTTACACCTTAGGTGCTTATTCTGTAACTTGATCGTTGCGTAAAGATTAGTTAACTAACGATTGTTTTCTAACGACAGGCTTAACGATAGTCGTTATAAAGTCTATTCTGTATGGTTGATCGTTAGGCGGTGTCATTGGGAAAGTTTGTAACGATCCGCTACGAGCTACGAACGATTGCTTATACCATCATAACCTATATTTCTGTATTTTGATTTTTGGTTGTCGTTGTTCGATTTCTGGTATTTGTGGTGTTAGGCCGGTCGTCCTTTGGATGCGTTTTCGTCCGAACTGCATTCGTCACAAAACGGACGAATAATTTCGTCAGATTTCGCATACGTGATATCGTTCACTGGACGAGTTTTTGCATTGCGAAGTCAGTCTTAACGTAGTGGAGTAATATGGAGGATTGTCTTTTGGAAAATAATTTTCTTGTTGGACGCTGATTTTTTAAATGTGCAAAACAATTCAGAGAATTTTCAAATCAATTCTACTGCCACAATTTTCTCTGCATGCTCATGTGATTAATGTGATATGATTTGTCGGTCTTCAATTTTTTGATAACCATTATCTTCTCAGCAATACAGACAACACACACAAATCGTCAGAACAACTGCGAAAACTACCATTTTTTTTGGATCAATCGCAATATGTTTTCTTCCTAATTCGCATGAATAATTTCTGGTACAATGTATAACCGTCATCAGGTTTCACTGAAATGTGATCATTCGCACTTTTTCGTCCAATTTCTGACGAATGCTATTCGGACGATAACGCAGCCAAAGGACGACCGGCCTTATTGAGCAGCTAAGATTTCAAATCAAATCAAATCAAATCAAATCAAATAAGCTTTATTGTCAGAAAATAACATAAGAGTTTCATTGACAAAGCAATACTTAAAGCTAGATTGTACTTAAAATCACAAAATATTACAATAACAACATTCATAATGACAAAATAATCTTTGATAATGAGCACAACCACAGATAAAAAATGCTAAAAACAAAAAATCAAAAATCTTAATCCCAAGACAACGACAACACAATAAATCAGGTTAAAATGAAGTAAAAAATATAAAAAATGTAAAATTATGATTATAGTGCATCGCCAAAATATTCTTCTATATCATAATAGGCTCTCTCTAACAACATGTATTTAACTTTATTTCTAAATGCTTTATAACTGTTAAGGTTTTTAAAACCATAAGGTAACTTATTATAAACCTTAATGCTCTTATATATCAGGGAATTTTGTGTGAGAGTGAATTTAGGTGTTGGTACTGGAATATTATTAAAATGTCTTGTTGAATAGGGATGCATGTGTGTAGAATCTTTATATTTTTTATGGATAAGGCAGACTGTTTCGAGTATATAAAGACTTGTAAGAGTTAATATTTTTTCTCTTTTAAACAATGGTTTACAGTGTTCTCTCGGGTCTGCTCCACAAACATGTCTTACACAACGTTTCTGAGAAATGAAAACCGAATTCCACAAGTACTGGCTGCAATTACCCCAAAAGGCAATTCCATATCGCAAGTGGGATTCAACCAGAGCATGATATGTGATTTTGGCCATTGATGTTCCTAGCCCACAGAAGGTTTGTCGTACTGCAAAACCTCCCATTGCTATCTTGGTATTCAAGTTCAAGATGTGCTGGTTAAATTTTAAGTTCGTATCTATATGTAATCCGAGAAACTTGGTGCTTTCAATAGAGCCAATCGCCTGATTTGCCATGTCTAAATTATTTAATGAAAATTTAAAGCTAACAACTTTTGTTTTTTCTACATTAAAACAGAAATAATGGAGGCAAAAGGTGTCAAAAAGGCAAAGCAAAACCACGTGCTCCTAAAACAATTAGAGAGCAGTTTAATTTATACCTCAACAGGTATATTTATGTAGAGCCCTGCTGACTGCCGGTTGCGATAATGAGCAATTGAAATCATTTCCAACTGATTTCTTATAGCTGCCATTGCATTCAAAATAGTCTCCATCCTTGCAACAATATCGATACTGCAGTATTTTTTTACTTTCACGTGGATTCACCACTGATTTCACTAGCAACGATAACCCCAATAGCTGCCGTTAAATAACGATCAAATTTATAGGTTATCAATAGTTAAATACCGATCATAAGGTGATACGGAATAGGGTAAATCGTTTAGTAACGATAATCGTTCGTAGTCATCGTTAAATAACTAATTCGTAACGATCAATCTTTATAAGCGATGTGACATAATAGGTCCGACCGGTATTTACCGATTTTCATTATTTAACGTGATCGTTAAGCCTTACAGAAAGGGCACCTTAGTATGGGAAAGAAAGGGAAACTATTTTGAGGGTCATAGACATAAGCTGAAAAATCCCATGAAATAGTTATTAAGGTCATTAGGCCAAGAAGTAAGTCGTGCTAAGCTTAACGTTTGAGCAAAGCGCAAATAACCTTTTGGGGCCGAATGGCATACAACATTTTATCTTCAAGGGACTGCAATGTTTCTTTCCACCACTAAATCACACATTTATTGTTAGATCACTCAAAACATGTGTCACTCCTTTGTTTGTCTGAGGCTCCATGAAGTTATTTGATAGTTTTTGGCGTTTGGGTTTTGGTTCTTGTACATTGCAGATGCTACAACATCTAGGTGCATATTTAACAGTAATGTAGAATAATTAAATAATCATGTATTTTTGTTAAAAAAATAATAATTGTCCGATCGAAACATAGAAAATATTGTTTGACCACTCCTGAAAATTTGAACCTCGTAGCTGCAAGTCTGTTTTTGAACTCTGAAGATGCTGAGTCATGACAAAATATGTAAAATTATTAATTTTCGTGATAGTTATAGTCACATTTTGTAGCAAAACATAATAGTGAAAAATATGTTGGCTTCTTGAACATCATAAATTATCATACCTTGAAAAAGAGGCTATTTCTATTTTGTCCACACTACCTATATGTTTCTTTAGGCGGAAAGACACTTATATCGAGCAATAAAATTTGCTGAATACTGTTTGGAATACACAAAAGATAGAGAAGAATGTGTGCCTGATCGTCCAGTGTCACTTTACGAAGGCATTTCGGGACCTATGTATTTGTTGCTTGACATTCAAGATCCTGTAAACGCAAAATTCCCAGGATTCACACTTTAAAAATTCAAATATGTTGATGGTATTTTATTGTATGGATGCTTTGGAAGACTTGAATTAAAGAGAGTTGTAAAAGTTGCCTTATACTTTGTAATTATTGCATTTTATAGCTCAACAATAATTATAGTGTAATCGTCTTTTAAATTGCTCTAGAAATAAAGACATTATATTTGTGTGAAAAACAAAAACGCTCATAAGATTTGGTAGAAAATCGTTTATGAAAGTACTTGTTTGCATGATTAAAGAGGTTTTCATGCCTTATTAATTGTTTTGTCAAAATACTAGAAATTCTGTAATAATTGTTGTGATATTTGCACTTTTTTTTAAAGAAATCTGATTGTTCGCACAAATACCTATATATTTTTTTTGTGCATGAGGCAATAGGTATATAGAACTGTCACTTAGATCTTATAGGTAGATACACAATCATAATATAATATCTTAGTATGTTTTAAAGCTATGATATTATTTATTTCTAGCATTTTCAGCATTATGTTGCTATTAAAGGTTTACTGTTGTTTCTGTTGTAGTCAATATTTCATTTACAAAAGCAGAGGCCAAATTAGAATTGCATTAGGAAAACATTTGAAACAAGCTGGATTTTTGTCCACATTGTTAATCTTGTGTTTTTTTTTTATTGTAGCTAATAAAATTTGCTACGATGACTTTTTTACTATGATCAATTTCAAAAATGTAGTCATTTATAAGTGGGTATGAAGATTTGCACCACAGTTAGTATATAATGGGATGGCATCAGTTACACAAGGGCTTTTTCAAAAATTTTGTCTATGTGTCCTCTCCATTTTAGATCTTTTGGTTTTCGACCTTCGCCTCTAGGATATTTATGTAGTATTCATTTTGGGGGTTACCTGAGCCTGGATTTTTTAATGATGCATTTCTTTTCATTCAACTTTAGTAGCTTGAGCACACCTCTGAACTGGACTAACTGAGTTTCTGGGTTGCCCTATAATTTAGTGTCGTCTGCAAAGCAGGATATATTAGTCTTGATGTTATGGTTCCCCCTGACCCTTAAGTGTTCTAGCTTGTACTGGTACCTTGTCGAAAGCTTTTTTGGTCTAAGTACAGTATGTCCACTGATTTTAGCTGGTCAAGCTGCTTTGTCCTATCATTCACACATTCTATGTGGTTTGTTGTTGTCGATCTTTTTGGGAAAAAAAACCGTGCTGAATGTAGGAGTCCTGTGCTGGAATATTGGGGTAGTTTAGGGGCAGACAGTTAATATTTAGGTAATTGAAGTGTCCAATTACCAGAGTGTTTCAACTATCTCAGAAGACACTATTTAGCTTGCCTATGAGATTTTAATTTAATTCATTGTTGGAGTCTGTAAATACAGCAAAACAACAAGTTTAGTATTTGGTAAATGGAGATCAACCCAAATTGATTCTATGTAAGCATGAGCTATGTATTTTTCATTTGAGATTACTCTTATTATTTTTCCTCGGTGTTCTTGCTTTATGTATATGCTCACTTCACAAACAATAACAAGCTTATTTAAAGAACTTAAAGGATCAATTCCTTTGGTTGCTGGCAGCTTCAACGACTGCTTTGGATTTGTATATATTTTTTTTTTAAATCAAAGCTTTAGGAACTTGGACAACTTTTAAATGACTTTTTCTATCAGTCGTGTTCATTTTATGCAAATCCACACTTTCAGTCCTCTAAACCCTTCTCCTAATCGCAAGTTGATCAGAGGCTTCTGTTATGTTTAGTACCAGCTTTCTTAGTGGATTCCAATTGAAGTGGGTCCTTGGTAGATTCACATTTTGAAGTTTTCCTGCAAGATCTGAATCATGTTGATGTGGACATCAATATAATTTTTTTTTTGAGGTTCGTTTGAATAAATGTGAATTCGATTTTTTTGGGAGGACCCTTTGGCTTGCAGTCTTCTCATCATTATGACTACGAGGTTTTTGTCAGGTAACAAGAATTCTAATATAGTAGAAACTGATGTTACTTCTCCCCAATCATGGATTTCAATTTTCACGAAGTATCGGTTGAATCAATTCAAATTATAAACTATTTTTATTACCATGATGAATTAGGAAAATTTTCACTCAATAATACTTCTTTATTGTCTTATCACTTTCTATGTTTTGTCTCGTTTTGACTGTTCGAATTCCAGATATTTGAGTTCATAGTTGATTTCACGTTTTTCATTTTTTTTGGAATTTGAGAAATGAAATTTAAATTGTTGAAGAAATTTACTAAAAATTGTTCCAATACTTTGACAGATTCAAAAACTAGTTTTACTAAAAAGTTTATTACATTAAACCACTGCTAAGTGAATATTGACAATGACTTAAACAGATTGTTTGTAATCTAATAGCTTAATTTCGGTTGTAGAATTAAAAATGTTATTTATTTTGTTAATTAAGCATATTCCTAAGTAAGGTATTAAATAATTACTATAGTGATTATGCTTTAAGCTGCTTTGAACCTGATATTATGTAAGTATACAAAAATACACATAATATAACTAATGCCTTAAAAAGGATAATAAACCATAATGTTTATTAGTAACTTGGGCGTTTTATTTAATGTCCATGATTCAGCTTTTCGCTTGGTCTTACCAAAAGGTCTTGATAATGATTTATTCATAATTTTCACTAATTTTGTTATGGAATATCCGCTGATCGTTTCAATTTCCCGCTGTCTGTTTCCGTACTTTCTGTCTTGACCCACTGTCTCAGTATGGACTTGCTTTCCACTTATTATCTGATTATATTAACTAACAAAATATCAAATTTGCCCCAACACAGGTCACATGTCATGGAATATTGATTCATCACATAGGTAAAACGAAAAAAATAGATTCATACTGTTTTCAAAGTTCATTTAAATCTGTTCCTGTTGCCTAAGTATGAATTTTTTTATGATCTACCTATAAAACATGCATTTTTCAAGCTTCATTTACTAAAACAAGAAAAAACACTCTGTCAACTACATATAGGTAATTCATAAAAATACAACTCCCATAAATATTGAAATTGGGCATGAAAAAATACCGGCACCCATACTTAACCCTCAAACGTCACCCCATGCATTCGCTAGCCTGAGAAAAGACTTAGCTAGACTTCCACCCGTCGTCAGTTGGAACCTTTATGGACGAAAAGAGTAAAACAACCAGTTTACGACCTTTTCTCGGTCCAGAACATGAGTTAGATTCGTCAGATTTAGATATTAAATTACACTGCTGGCATTAGGGAAAAAATATGTTTATAAATGAACCCTTGATAGGAAGAATCCTATGAAGTGGTGTAATAATTTGTAACTTTATGGGAATTTATGGAAAAGTAGAGACAGGGAAACAGACAGGTACATCATTAAAAAAAAAATCCAAAAGATGTAGGAAGAAAGTTTTTAACGTGACAAGTTTAACCATAATTTATTTGTATAAATTTTCAGCATGAGGCCATGCGACCCACTGTCTGGAAGGTAGTCTACGCGGATGTCCCGACACAGAAGCTGCTGACAAGTGAAGTAACTCAAGTAAATAATGATAATGGAAGTTTTTTCTTTAAACCTTCCGCTTATCAGGGAACCTGCCGAGCGACTTTGCTTAGTGGATACGGCTCGGAAAATGTGCATCCAAGTATATTTGAATTTCGGAGGTGAGGAGTCGGTACACCCTTACTATTTTCAATCGCGAGCCCTCATCCTCATGTGGCTGGGAGTTGCTGAACATTGAGCGGCACCTGACCCAGGGATTACTATCCAGTTTAGGTGGATTTTGTGAATGTGCGGTGTGCCAAGCGGCTCCCATATATTAACCTCCAGAACCCCAACAACCAAGTCTAAAGTCTAGGGCCCACCTTTAGAATCCGACCAGCCCTGAAAATACCTACGGTGGTCCTCGAGCCGCTGAATCGGTATCGGAGACACCGGACCAGAACGCCAGCCCGTGTACCCCGCTTGAGTATGACCCGACAGGAGGGACTCAGGATGCAGTTGCGTAGGGATCCCCGGACAATCATGAATATGTAGAGATAGGTACTATCTGTTTAAGCACTAACGTACATTTTAAGGATTCTGGGCCGAGATTCTAAAATCACGATTCGACACACGACTCGACAACGATACCGGCCTTGTCGTGTCGAAAGGTATAATTCCAATGAGATTTCTAACCTAGAATCGTCGGAAAAATCGTCTCGTTGTCGAGTCGTATGTCGAATCGTGATTTTAGAATCCCCGACCTGTATGTGTGCTTTGTACTAACATTAAGTTTAGGAATCTATATTGTTTTGTTACTGACATAGAAAGATTAATTCATTAAGTGACACATTCTGGCCGATGCTTGATATATTAATTTTGAGAATAAAATCGTATATAGATTAATTGACCAAAGTTGCGTTGCGTTTTACTCTCACCCCAGCAAATAGGACCTACATCAAACTTGTCGCCTCCCAGGAACGAAAATAAATACCGCTCGATCACTTCAACATCCTTTAGTTTCGGGCGGCTGCAACAATCTTGTACCTCGATGATTCAATTACACATTTTATCAAACTCATTTGAACTTCATGTTAGTGATTTACAAAAAAAATCAATCAAACTTCAATCAAATCCTTCGAAAGGCAAATTTTCTTGTTCTGTCAATTACCTCGGGCATGTAATAACTTCTTCTGGTATTGCTTCAAATCCAGATAAAATTTCTGCTATTTCTAAAATACCAAATCCTCGAAATGTCAAAGAACTACTTTTTTTTCAACGAACTTGTTCCTGGTTTCGGCGTTTTATAAATACATCGCAGAAATTTCAACACCTCTTAGTCTTCTCACTAAAAAGAAAGTCAAGTCAAGGCTTTTGAAAATCTGAAAACGTTTTTAACGTCTAGCCCTTTTCTTCAGCAAGCTGACCCTAATAATTCCCTATTCTTAAGACGAATGCCTCTATAAAAAAAAAGCTATGCTATTGCATGTTCACTCTAGGGGAAACGGTCGTTTATTAACATTTGCTGAGCAAAATTACAATACAACAGAGCGCCTTAGCAGTCGTTTGGTCCGTGACTGACAAATTTAGTGGCTATTTAGATTAGAATGTGGTAATGTTATCGTCAAAATTTATCATCAGCCCTTGCAATGGCTTATGACACTTAAATCACCTTCGGGCACGTTAGGAAGATGGTCTTTAGCTTTGTAATCTTTTGATTTATGTATTAAATATAATCCTGGAAAAGATAATGTTGTTGCTGATATGTTATCGCGCTCTGCAATTCCTGCAGCAAATCCCAAATTCCTCAAATCCTTGCCGAGTACCACAATTCTCCATTGGCTGGCCATTATGGTGTAGAACGGACCTACTTATCAAAAATTTGCAAGTCGTTTCTTCTGGCCTGGAATGGGGAGAACCATATCTGATTATGTTAGTAAATGTGTAGACTGCCAACGTTATAAAGCTACAAATCTTAAACCTGCTCTGTGGGACACATACAGACTCCTATTCAAAGACAGCGTTTTGAAACTATCTCTTGTTGATTTATTTGGTACATTACCTGAAACGCAGGATTATTACAAATGGATTTTCCTAATAGAAGATAGGTACTACAAGAAGATGGAGAGAAATTTTTCCATTGACGGCAGCGTCCGCGGAAATTTGTGCTCATTGCCTAACATGTACCACCCAGAGGCGAACCCTACAGGAAGGAAAAATCGAGATCTGATCTTGTTGTGTTGGTAATAACCATATAAAATGGAAAGAAAATCTTCCAGCAGTCCGTTTTTCTATGAACACAGTGTATTCCCAAGCTTATTCCACTGCTTACCTCACTTTTGGAAGTTACCATTGCACCAATCCTGAAAAATGACTCCTTTTTGAGAAAATCAATTTCATAGGTAGCAAGTAAAACGCTTGGACATTGTAATGGACGTTCAATGTAGCATAAAAAGGTAAGCTTGTGGCGCAGCGGTGTGCTATGTGGAGTCATTTTTCAGGATTGGTGCAATGGTAACTTTTAAACACAATTTCCGTATACTTTGGGCAGGGTCCTTTGCTCCAAAAAGAAATGGCCCATATCAAATATTTAAAATGGTATTCCCAACTACTTATGAGTAGGGTTTCCAACCCGGGATCCCGGAAGATGTTTCATCCCGAAAATCCTGGGATAAAAAATCGGGATCCAGAAAATCCCGATTTTTTAAATGATCGAATTTCAATCTGCATTATTCCTTTTTTCTTCATTCGCGTGTTATTTAGCTTTACCCCGGTAATTTACGTATGTAATAGGTTACAACAAGAGGAGAAGTGGGAATCATCTACCGCCGGAAGGGGATTCCTCAATTCCTGTATGGCGCGGTGTTCGGTATTATACTTCTTTACTGATGTTTGCTAGTCTTGTATCTTGATTCTTGTGAGTAGGAGATTAGTAAAGAGTAGTAAACAGGCTGAAAAAAATTCTGTTACTTCCTTTCATGGTGTGGTGTTAGATTCAAAAAAAATATATTGGGGTTAATACCGAGATCTCGGGATCCTGGGATCTAGTTTTCTAATCCCGGGATCCCGATCCCGAAAATTGGAAACTTTACTAAAACTAGATGATTCACAAAAAGAAGTCGGAAAATATCATGTGTCAGCATTGACCAAATTCAAATCCGATTATAAAGTTAATCCGGCACCTTTTAGACCATTGAGAAAACGTGGTAGACCCCGTAAAGTTATAATTGAAGATGATGAATTTGAAAGTGATTAAGTGATCGTTAGTTAATAGCTATTTTAAGTAAAATATTACCAAATTAATTCATATTTATTTTAGAGTGCAAGAATTTCTCCAATGAACAACCCATTTGGACAAAGGGGCAAGTGACAATATAGCAATTATACTCCTGGACAAAATTATCGCACCACTGCTTATGGTGATGCTTATGTGAAGTGGTGCGATAATTTTGTCCAGGAGTACCTATATATTTCTATTCCATTTTTTGGTTGGATGTTTGACAGAACATAAGAGAGAGGCTTACTTTATTTGTTGGTTTTTATTTGTAATCCTTTTTTCATTAAATGGTATTTGATATCAAATATGATAATTATACCATAATGGCCTACTGCGGAAACTAAGCCATTATGGTATCCGAGGGCGGGAGCTCGCCTGGTTTGGATCGTATTTGTCTGGGAGAAAATAATTTGTAAGAATGCCAAACAGGGAGGACTCAGAAACTCTAAATCTATCTCGCGGTGTGCCACAAGGGTCTGTACTCGGCCCGGTTCTCTTCCTGCTCTACATTAATGATCTTGCTCTTTTGTCAATACTTGGTGTTTTCGTAATTTTCGCCGACGATACGACTATTCTATGGAAGCACAAGGATGCAGCAGTTTTGTCTAATATCATAGAAAAAGATCTAGTTTTAATAAAGGAATGGTGTGACGCAAACTCTCTTGTATTTAATGTTTCAAAAACAAATATTCTATCATTTAAATGCTCACTAATACTGGAAGAAAAGTCGACTGTTAAATTCCTTGGTCTTTACATGGACTCTAAACTTAAATTTGGAACCCACATTGATTTACTCAATAAGAAATTATCACAAGGCCGCTATTTGATAAAAAATATATTACACGAGTTGGGCAAAGATATAGCTAAAGTAGCTTATTGTGCTTTGATGGAATCTCATATCAGATATGGAATACCCTTCTGGGGATTCTCAACCCAAGCCTCTGTTCAATCAGTGTTTATTTTACAAAAAAGCGCCCTTAGAACTTTGTGCGGAGTTAGTTGTCAGCAAACCTGTAGACCACTCTTTCTACGGGAAAAAAATTTGACGGTTCCATCAATTTTTATAATGGAAATAGCTTGCCTTATACATAAAAAATTCCAAGGTTTTAACAGAACTGAGTCTCATAATTTGCGAAGTTACCATAACAACTTACCGTTACCCATCCCTAAATCTACTCTGACAAAACAATCTGTAATTTACGAAGGAATAAAGATATTTAATAGTTTACCGGATGACATTAAAAGTATAAATGTATATAAAAGGTTTCGAACAAAGCTTAAAGAATTTTTAATTGGTGGAACTTTTTATAGTTTGGGAGAGTTTTATAATAGGTGAAGCCAAAGCGCGGTTTGTTGATGGTCTTGTTGATGGTCTTGTGTAGCCTGGACTTGTGTAATCTGGACAGTTTGGACAATTTAGATTGTTTATCTGTATTTAATTGTTTATTTGTTAATTGTTCAATTTTTTGAAGAGTACATCAGGTTTATAAACTTTAAAACTTCGTTTGTTTGTTGGATAATCTTGTGAATGTTTTTGATTTTATTTTAATGTTGATTTTACATGCTCGTAAATTTTATACTGTTTTTCTGTGTTTCAAATTTTATATTTGTATTTTTATAGACGAAATTATTTAGTGTTGACATAGATTAGGTAGTAATAGGTATGAAAAAAATTGTTTAGAATTAAGTTTTGGTTTGTCAATGATCTTTTGAAAAAATTAGGACAATAAAGCTTATTTGAATTTGAATTGAAAAACAGTGTTTTATTAATTTGGCTTTCTATGGTGAATAGTCTGCATGAACAAAATATTAGTATACTGAAGTAAACAGTCCACTTGACAACAATTTTTGATCTAATGTGACTAAAACTATACTAACGAAGATACTATAAAAAAACGTTTATTAGTAAAATTTTGTTTTATTTGAAAACTTCCAACAAATAATAAACAAATTGAGAACATAGTAAAATAGTCCATTTATTTATTTTTTTTTTCATAGTGTAACTAATACTTTCAATAACATCTATTAAAATTATAAATTCTATGTACAAATTGGCTTAAGACACTAACAAAAATTTTCTTTGTTTTTATACAACATTTTCATCCCTCTGTACAAAAATTTAAAAATAAGTAAGTTTAGATACATAATAAGAAAACTACACAGGACTAGTAATAATCCAATTTTCAATAGACTTTTTTAAATTTTAGAAATAATGGTTCTTTAATAAGCAAATTGGTAGGTATAAGATTTTCGAAATTATTAAAATAACCTCTACGTAATTATCAAAATCGTAATAAAATTGTCTTAGCCTTGGGGGTGCAAAAGTAGTTACAAGTTTATTATAATCTTTGATATGTAAAAATACATAACTATAATATACAATATTTACAATAACCATGTCAATTAAATATTTTTTCATAAAGCTTTCTGACAGTTTACCAAATAGGTCAGTAAAGTGTTAGAAAATATCTTTGAAATATAGATGCTACATACAAATCTATACAAGGCACTCTTGCAGGTCCGAACCTAATAAGTATCAAAATGTCCAAATACAGCATATTTTGCTTTCTTGAGCAATTTAGCACAAAACTTCAAAATTAAAACAACAATCACATAGTTAAGAATAGTCTCCTTGAAATTATTTCAGGACATTCCAAAATTTTACTAAAATTGATTGAAAAAAATTATCCGCAAATATTTTCAAATTGAAATATTTACAATACAATGGCTTAAAAAATTACAATAATTGTAGTTCTGTCACAAGCCTTCTTCCAATAAAATAAGGGATAAACAGATAAGATGCTCAATACATTATAATATACTCAATATTTTGATCTTCAATAGTTAGGTGTTAGGTTGCAGGAATTTGTACTTGAATTAGTTAGATTCTTGTGATTTATGTGAGAGTCATAATCATTCAGTTTAATAATTGATATTGAGGAATAAATATTCTTCCACTAGTGATGGAATGAAGCTCTAATAGTCGTCGAAAAAAAAAATCTATCTTGCCACTAGCCAACATTGAAAAATCAATATTAAGTAATACCTAATATAAACAATATTTCAATATATTATTGTTAATTCAAAAAAGTTAGTATACTTTATCGATTCACAATTGAGAGATAAATTGATCGTGCCGGTTCACCAATTTTCAGAATAGTGGAAGCAGGGAAAGCAAATGGCCATTCTGTCGAACGGAAACCAGTTGGACAGACTCTAAGTGAAATTTTTCGCAAACCATAAATGAATATTTTATTAAATTTTTCTTACTTTTCCCATGCCTCACAGAAAAAACAAGCCACCAGATTTCATTTATTTTTTTTGAGGTCTCAATTGAGATTCGATAAATCATAGCAGAGTTGGAAAATGATTGATTCTCATCTTTTTCAACAAATTTTATTTATTTATTTTTTGCATGTAGCCTTTGAAGAAGACGAAAAGGGTAGTTTCATTTTCCATTCCTGAACCCATTAACGCAACATCAACTTAACACAAAATGGCATTACATTGAAAAAAGGAAACAATTAAAGCTTCAAAAACAATTAAATATGAATAAAAAGAATGAATCAGGTAGTATAATTAGATAAATATAACAGTAATCAAAACAAATCGAGATACAATATTAAAATACAATGTCCGACACCAACAATTTTTAACCTGACCCGTACTATATAATGAAAATGTATCTAGTCTCATTCCGTCTTCTGCTGACAATAGAGCTCTTTAAGCGCCTTCAGCTCGTCGATGAGAGCTTTGTTTTGGTTTTCCAATACGGCCACCCTGTTTTCCAAACATTTGATGTATTCCTTTTTCTTTCTCCTACATTCACGGGCCGCTTCTCTGTTTTTCAGTAGTCGCATTTCACGTTTTCTCACTTGATCTTCTCCGCCTGATTGATTGAGACTTCCTTGTGCAACAACTAAAAAAAAAAAACAAGAATATGAGCAACAGCTATTTTTTGCTCCAAGTGAATCATGTTCGGGGTGCAAGACTTTCGGAATTAGAAGATATTTTTAGTAAATTGAAATAAAAAAAACAACAAGCTGAAAATTAGGATAGAGTTACGAGAGCGCAAGTTAACAGGTGAAGATTCACTTAAATTAAGATATATCAAGGGTATTCCTCAGATAATTGCCAATGAGGAGGTTCCTGAGGGAAACTAAATTGTGACGGACGAAGACCAAAAAGCCTTATCAACTTAACTACTCATTCCCAAAACGTACAGGAGGGCTTTATTCGAAATTGATGCAACTTTGCGTACACGCAAATGACGTCATTCGTGATTGAAAATTGGTGCGCGGCTTATTTGACATGCACTTTTTCAATGGCAAATGACGTCATTTGTTTCATATTTGCGTGTACGCAAAGTTGCATAATTTCAAATAAAGCCCCCCAGGGCCTTCATACTAAATTATCCACGCTGATATGCAATGTGTCAATAGACAGTTTTGAAAATTATTTGTAAAATTATTTGTAAATTATTGCTGTGTTAATTGGACTTTGATATTTGGAATAAACGAAACGAACCCAAGATTTCTGTCAGGCAACACAAAGCCATGAGAATACCATCAAATCTTTACTTGGAGAATTTATAATGCGAGATGGGGTCCATGCTGCTAATCTCTTCACAAACCATTTCAGCTCCGTTCACTCTCAAGAGCAACCACAACATGAGGAAAAACCCTCCTTCAACAACTTAAATGTATCCGAGTTCTCAATCTGTATTTCTGGAATATACACAGAATTTACTTACTTGAACATCTATAAAGGGCCAGACCCTGATAAAATTTATCCTATTTTGCTTGAAAACTGCTCTTTTATCCTCTCAAGGCCCCTGCATATCATATTTCATAGGCGGTTACACACGGACATGGATGTTTGAAAACATGTACGTACATACATGAACGCGCAAACAAAAACATCAATGTGTATGCAAAATATCGTCGCGTTTTTGAATGTGCAATTTTGTATGCACACTCGGAACACCGTAGCCAGAATAGCAAGACTGAAGTATTGTGCGAGCGTCTGTACAAAAGCGCCATGCACCTTGTTGTTTGCACGTTGATGTATGCACGTATATGTATCAAGACATCCACGTCCGTGTGTAACCGCCTCATAGCTCACTCAAATCTGGCCACTTTACAGAATACTGGAAGTCCAGTTATGTAGTACCCATCCACAAATCCGGGGACACTTCCAATATAAAAAACTACAGACCTGTGAACATTTTGAGTACAATAGCCAAACTTTTTGAAAAACATGTATCCAAATATTTGACAACTGTTTCATCTCCTATCTCCTTTAATTATTAATGAACAGTTTGGCTTTTGCACAGTTCGCAATGCTGAAGTGAACCTTCTATCTCACACAACAACTATCACAAAGGCCCTGCCTAGAAGATAATTTTGAAATACATTCAATATATACAGACTTTTTCAAGTTCTTTGACAAAGTACAGCATGAAAAAACTGAATTGGACTTTTTCAGTGCATCAGCAGTTTGCTACCAAGCTAAAAGACAGCAACAGAGCCCAAATTAGGATTAAGGAAACTGCATATGGCCCCTAATAGAGCTTTCTGTGAGCATCCTCACCAACCGCCAGTTCCAAATACATGACATATTTCATCAACCCATGAAAGCTACTTAATTAGATCATTAGATTAAATGATAAACATCAAAGGAGAGAAACAGAAATATCTTTTTGATTTGAACACAACTGGAAGAAATTTAGAGTAAGCCTACCATAGCGATATAGTTTATCAAAAGTACGGAATCAATGAGCAGGCAGGCAGTTAGGTCAGTGCGAAGTCTCGACATCAACACACCACAATCCACATATAAACGAAAAAAGCGTCATCTTTGCAATGAAGTAGAAAGAAGGTTTGGAATGAGCTTTGCGTCATTCAATTGATTCCAGAATGAGATAGCGCTAGTAAGGGCAAAAAATCTATTGAATCTCCCATATCTCTCACTCTAACCCTGAGTGAGATAGCGCTAGTAAGGGAAAGAAAATCTCATGGATATCTCCTGTTCTCTCACTCTTATGTTGGCCGCAAATATATGTATTGAGTAGATAGGCAAAGGGGTATTCCAACCTTCTTACTACTTCACTGCATCTCTGTCACTAGTTTGCAAAGTTATTCTGAGACAAAGAAAGCAATCCATGTTTTCAGAAGAAACATGTCAATTATCATTTCTTGACAGCCATTTCGATGACTTGGGATACTGTGAACCGATATGTAGTAAATGTCCTCATAAGCGAAATAATTTTAAATGAAGACGTTGAAATGGATCAAGATGGCTCAGGAGAAAGATGAGTTCATCAAAAGAACAAGGTGTCCCAGCCGAGAGTAACCCATTTTAAATGCTTATAACTTTCAAACCGGGTATGCTAGCTACCTGCAGGTTGCGCCATTCGATTTCTCTTTACCTAAAGTTTTAGTAGGTTGCAAATTTCTCTGAATCCGTTTTTCAACATCGAAATTCTCCACTATTTTTAATGGAACACCCCTGTATATCACGTCAGATAAAAGAGTCATGTTCAAGGTATCCATGTACGAATAAACATTGTGCTTTACACTTGAAGTTTCAGCCGTAAAAAATTAAAATCGAAATCCTGGTATTTTTTATTAGCATATTTACAAAGCTTGGAAATTATGTTTAAAAACTGCATAAAACTAGCCGTGTTCGTTTTTGTCATCTTTTTCGTCGATTTGCTCCGAAATTTTGACAGGCACGTGATTTGTGAATTGAAACTGTCTGATCCAGTCACGTGCCTGTCAAAATTTTGGAGCAAATCGACGAATAAGATTACAAAAACGAACACAGCCACTATAAAAAATGCTGTACATGTTAGCCATTATGTTCCACCGTTAATGGATCAGTAAATGGTTGAATAAATTTTGTAACATTTCCTGGGGAATCGCTGCAATGACATAACGAATGTTTCACTTAAGAGCTTCCAGGCTATTTGGCAAGGAATTACAGGATCTCTCCTTGATATAGGTCCAGAAAAAAAGTCTGGAACTGGCAAGTCAGGAGAATAAGGTGTCCATATAGGACCAGCGCTTCCTATCCATCTTTTCCCAAATGGCATATCTAGTGATTCCCTTGCTATTAAATAATAATGAGAGACACCATCCTGCTCAAAATAGATATCGCTCAAGATACCCTCCCGTCCTAATTGTGGATAAAAGAAATTTCCCAACATATCAGTGTATACAGTTCCTGTTATTGTTGGTTTATTAATGAAAAATGGTCTGTATTTTTTCTCAATAGAGATTGCTCAACAAACTGTTACTTTTGGGGTATCTCGCTATTTTCGCTGGGACTTGTTGGAAAATGTAATCTAACTTAGTTGATATCTAATTTGACATTTACAAAATTGTTTGCCATAATGATAGCAAGTACCTAAAACATGAAGTTGCATGCGTTAACAAAAATACTAGGATTTCGATTTAAATTTTTTAATGCTAAAACTTTGAGTTTCAAGGATGATGCTTATTGATACATGGATACCTTTAACATGCCTCTTTTTTTTTTGACGTTGTGATATACAGGGTGATCCATTAAAAATAGTGGAGAATTTTGATGTTGAAAAACTGACGTTTTTTTTAGTCGCCCTGTATAAGAGGCAAATAAATCTGCAACCTAATAAAAAAAACTATAGGCCAAGAAAAGTCGAATGGCACAAACCGCAGGTCACTCTCCGTTGGGACACCCTGTATTGTGGATAGTGAAGAAGCATACAATGGATATTTTTCGAAAAATTTAATTTTGTAGGGAGTCGTGTAGTAAAACAGTTCACGCCAACGGACATTTTGGTGAAGACCGAAGGGTTGGTCAAGAGGAAGTTTCACATTATCTAAACTGACGGAATAAATACGAACTGATTTTTCAAAATGTATGTTGCTGTATGCTATCAAATCGTCCTCTAAAGAGGACATAGAACGCCTAGAAGCATAAGCGACAGAAACACTACAATGTTCTTTTGAAGAAAAGATCAAATATGTGTTAATGCCGACTGAAGATGTTCCAACAAGTTACAAAGCCGAGTTTGAAAGAGTCAGGAAAATGGTATATTTTCCTCTAACGTGCACAAAAAGACCTTAACTGTACTATAACGAGAATGGTTACTGAGATGTAAGATGAGAAACGAGAAACAAAGAAGATTAATTATTCAAAAAAAAAAGTTAAATATTTACCACATAAACCCCACACAATTTGTTCCAGGGGCAAAAGTTTGCCGAACGTTTCTGAGACCCTATGAAATTATGAAATATGAAAAAAAAATCAAAACATTCTTGGCAGTGTGGAGGAATTTAAACAAAGAAGTTGAAGTCTATCTTCGGAAGACCACAAGTTCTTGACCAATAAATGACAAAAAATTGAAGGCCAGTTGAATAATTTGATTTAAAGGGGCTTATGGAAGAAAATAACGCGCCAAACACACTACTGCATTCTGATGTCGAACTGAGGGTATAATGCTAGTATCTAAGTAAGTTACTACTATATTACAGTCTTGATACTATGGAAAAATCTTCCTGAGCCATTATCACAAAGGCGTTAGTTTGGGAACAGATATATCTGAACTCGGATTAACAGTTTATGAGAAAATTGTCTAGGAAGCCAGACGAAGAACTATTTATTTATTTTTACACATTTTTAGATATGCTAGTTTATACTTTAAAATCCTCAAATTATTCCAATTCAGTCATCTTGAACTTTTAGAGGACTGAATTAATTAATAAAAGGGACCCTGTTTTTGAGCAATTTTTTTTTTTTTCAAAATTAAAAACATTATTTCACTTTTTGAGCTTACATTAACAAGCTTTGCGAGTTTTTCACTATTATCCTTCTTTGTTTGTAAAATATACAGGGTGATTTACGTAGCTCGTGCAATAGCTTACAGGTGGATTAGATGCTATTTCTATTAATCCACCTGCAATCCAATTGAATTCTAAATGTACAGGCTACGACAATCACGGTGTATATTTCCCCTGTTAGTCTTAACAGATATTTGCCTAATATTTTTTTTTAATAGTATTCACAGTCATGGTAATTTAATGTCAATCACTGAGCATTGACAATCAGAGAAATCAGAAAACAGATAATCCAGAATTTTACTCTAATCGAATATTAAATACTCACCAGGCACAAAAAACTCTTGACCAGGCGAATACTGTACAATAGCGCCACCTGTCGCTGCATTGGTCATAGTAAGTGTGTGACCTTGTCCTCCCTCTCCGCTGGATATTTGTATGGCAGTGCCAGGCAAAACTGGAAAAAATAAGGAATAATTATTGATTATTAAATAATGAAAACATTGCAATGAAATGATCAATTAGTTGGTTAGAAGATCCATTAATTTGTGAAAGTTTCTGTTAATGCCTTTGAAAGAACATGAAGCAAATTTTAGTATATTTTTGTAAGAAACTTACAGAAAACTTACCTTAAACCACCTCTAATCGATAATTTAAAGGTTTACCAGTTTTATCTTTGTTGAACAAAAATTAAAACGGCTTAATTGTCCAAGTTTAGTTTTCTTAAAAAAAAAAATATTAGCAGAGTGACAGGTTCATTTTTAGTTTTAGTAGATAAGTAACAAAGCCTCAAGAAAATGTATTAGTAGGTATTGATTAGTAACATATTTATGAATACGCCGTTTGAGCCATTTTTCAGTGATTTAGTTGCTAATTTAATCGAATGTGTGTATGTTTGTGTGAATAATGAAAAAAAAAAAAATAAAATAAAAGATTGAATCCGCACGTCACTCCAACCTGAAGAAAAATGTACTAAAATGTAGTTGGAAAGAGAGATGAAACTAAAAACATTATCCTCTATCAGAATTAAAAAAAAAGAAGGAAAAACTAACCTGTGTGGTATGGGATAGAGTGTGAGGATAACTCACTGTCTGCTTCCGAGGAATTCTGCTCGACCTTGGGCTCTGCGAACATCGTAACAAAACCTTTAATTTAGAAAATGGTCACTGCATTACAATTATTTGTTTACTTGATTAGTATTAAAACCCTAAAATTTAATCACGTTGCCCATTGTTTTATTTTTCTTTGTTTTTTCTTGCACAATTGTTTTTTTTTTGTCACTCTATTCTGATCATTTTGTGATCCCATACCACAAAATGATTGTGTCTCCATACCGCAACATTATTGTGTCCGTTTCGCCCCAGATATCTGAACGGAAATGTGGATATTCAGTCAGTCAGTCAGAGATGTCTACATTTTTCAAATACTTGAAATATCTTGCTTGATGTTTCTAAAAAGTACCAGGGACAATAATTCAATTTAGCCTTTTTTTTGTCCTCACCAGATGTCCAGCAAAAAGTCATAAATTACCGCATAAGTTGCCTTTTTTTATTATATCCTACTAATTTGCCATTTACTAATGTAAGATTATAAACAAATAAAAAAAAAAGAAGCAATCAGGAGATCTAGTGTCTATTGATATGTTGATAATTAATCGGGATGATAATGGTTTTGAACAATCTGATTTGACAGGCAGAAATTACATTGTGCTGAAAAGCCAACGCCACTCTGCAAGCCTGGTGAGTCTGTTCTGAAATATTCAGGTAATCGTTCCCATTCAGCCATATGCATAAATAAAGTGCACAAACCTTTAAATGGGATGAAATCTTGTAGGTATAACGGTCTTTAAGATATGAGCGTTGAAATATTAACTTTTTTGCGACTTTTTGTGTGGAGAGTATACGAAACACTGGTGCTACTGGGTGCCACTGGTGTTTATCAGTCAAAATATTTACAGGTTCACATATTTCACGTCACTAACAAATTAATGTCAACATAGGCTAAGGCCGGGACCACACTGGGACCAATGTTGAAGCTAGTGCGGTCCCGGCCTTAGCCGATGTTGACATTTGTTAGTGATGTGAAATATGTGAACCTGCCAATATTTTGACTGATAAGCACCAGTATTTCGTATACTCTCCACACAAAAAGTCGCAAAAAAGTTCATCTTTCAACGCTCATATCTCGAAGACCTTAACACCTACAAGATTTCGTCCCATTTAAAGGTTGTTAAGAATTAAATTTTCTACAAAATATCAAAATTTGAAAAAAATCGACTGATCGCTGAAATCCCATGTAAGGTGTGCGAGGTCCTTTACTAGAATAGTAGATTCTGGGAATTTTCAGTTTGACTGGTTGAGTATATAAAGCGTGTAGTTTGTAAGTCAGTTAAAATAAAAGAATTGTTGTATGAAATTAAGTAAAAATGACGAGTGTTATTGTATTTGAAAAGTTTTTTTTTTTCAAAAAAATTGTTAGTTAAGAAAGTTCTAAATCGACCCCCGAAATTTGCTACAGTATTTTACACATATTTCAAAGTAGGTAAAGGAATCTATAGGGATCTAGAAGTAAAAATTTCCCCAAAGCCAACAAAAATAGCCCCATTGTGTTAATTTATATGTTTTATATGTCTGGTTATAATTTGACACCCTACCTGCAGCCTTTACCTTTACAGGTAGATAATAGGTGTAGTTGTGCAGTTTTATCTAAATATTTAGAATCCATCTTCAGAAACAAAAATTTAATGTCAGAAATTGGAAATTTTGTGTACTTTTAACTTTTTTCAAATGAAATGCCCGAGGGAGTGTCCTATATTTGGTTCTCATTCTTGAAGACCATCATTTTCCATTTCCAAAAACATATAGTTTGTCTATATTTGGTTGAGCCGTCTCCAACACATTTGGCTCTAAAAATTTCACAAACATGTACTATCAGAGAAACCTTGGCTGGGACTCGAATAGAGATATTTTTTCTATCTCTATTGGTGTCCCCTCTCTATTGATTTTTGTTGTGTTTTGGTTTGATTAAAAGTGGCTTTAGAAGAACCAGTAAGATTTAGACAGATTGTCATTGTGATTACTTTTGTCAAGGTATTTAAAATATATAATTATTCTGGCACATTTTTGAAATTAATATTGGCGACGAGGAAACCACGAACCCACAATGCCTTCAAGAAGAAGAAATCGACAATCAAGTATTGAAAATGTTCAAGCTCCTACAAGCAGTTCAAGTTCTACTACACATGCTGCCCATACAGTATTTGCAATTGAATCCTATGATATTAACAAACGATTTAATCGTTGGCTTATGCGTTTAGAAAGTGCATTTAGCATTTTTGAAATACCAGATGGTAAGAAAATGGCATATTTACTTCATTACATGGGTTCAGATGCTTATAATACACTTTGTGATACAATTTCACTTGGAAAACCTGATGACATGACATTTCAAGCTATTGTTGACATTTCACTACATTATTACAATCCAGAACCATTAGAAATAGCTGCAATTTTTCGATTTTTACAAAGAAAACAACAAGATGGTGAAACGGTACTAGAATTTTTAACAACTCTACGAAAATTAGCTACAACATGTAATTTTGAAAGCTATTTACAGAAAGCTTTGCAAAATCAGTTTGTTTCTGTCTTCCGTCCTCAAGATATCCAGAGTCGATTATTAGAAATTAGAGAACTAACTTTGGAAAATGCTTTGGCGATTGCCAAAAGCATTGAAATGTCTACAAGAGATGCTGCGGAATTACATCACTCCAAAAATTCGTCAGATTTGAACCAGCTGAATCAAAATACGAAGAATAAGAATATTTCATACTCAAATTCTTCTGGGTTTTCTAGGTAAAACTATATAATAATAGAAAACTTTCATGTTTTAGATGTGGTTCAGATCAATATTTAGCAAATCGTGTGATAAGAAGCATGTAGTTTGTGTTTTTTGTAAAATTCCAAGGCATCTTACCAATTTTTGTATGAAAAATAATAATCGGAATCAAACGCATCAAATTGAGGAAACCACAAGCAATGTTGAGGAAATTTTAGCTGTTGAACATTCAAAGTTTTGCAACAAGTTTCAAGTGAAACTGAAAAAGATCCTATTTTAAACAAGATTTCTGTAGCTTTGAAATTGGGAAAAACTTTAGATGGAAAAGATTGCTTTAAAATTGATTTTTCAGAATTTTCTTTGCAAAATGGATGCATTTTCAAAGGTTACCAAGTAGATGTACCAAAAATATTGCGTAAAAAAATTATGAATGAATTACACATTGCTTATTTTGGTTCTCTGAAAATGAAATCTTTAGCTCGTAGTTATTGCTGGTGGCCAGGCAGAAATGTCTAATTATATTGATGATATTGTAAGAAATTGCAGTGGTTGTAGTAAAAACAAAAACAATCCAGAATTGGTTCCAGTTAGTGAATGCAATACCGGGATACCGGAATCCCGCACGCCATATGCGGGACTGATCTCGCTCATAAACTGAGCGGGATCCCGCCGGGATTTGCGGGATTGAAAAAAACTGTACTTTATGGTGTCACTCGGGCCTGGTACGCCCGAAATGGACCACGGATCGTGGTGAGGAGACTGAGAGAAACTTTCTCGCCCTTTCGAAGTTGCTTACTACTATATTTTTTAATTTTGGCAGTTTTGTTCTAACTTTTAATAACGACGTGTAGGGGTCGCAGTGCAACAAATTCATAATTGTGGTTAAGTAAACAAAATTTACTCTCTTAAGTAGGTATTCAAGTTTCAATAATTATCATTATGTTAGAAACTGTAGCTCTGTTCCAAACGACATGAGAACCGTTCTAGAACGGTAGTTTCCAGTCGATCACTGCATTTGTCAAGTAGGATGAACTCATTGAAAAATAGGTGGACAACTGGAAATTAATAGTTCTCTGGAGCGGTTCTCATGTCGGTTGGAACAGAGCTACAGTTTTCAGTTTCCGACATAATGATAACTTGAAAAGGTGAATTTTGTTAAACTTCAGAATGCAAGTTGTGTAAATGAATAATTAAAACGACAGGACGTTTGCGCAGTTATTTCCAAAATAATATTTAAATATCTTCAGACTTGTTATGTTAATCTTCTAATAATAATATTTAAATATCTTTAAAAAACATTATTGAATAATTTGATACTTGATATTTGTTCAATTTTAGTCAAAACCCTTTAAGTCTGGTACTATATTATGATTTTGCAAAGTCACACAGGATTCTGCGGGATTCCGCAAATACCTGGATCCCGCAGGATTGGAAATGTCCAGTCCCGCAAATACCGGGATTGGAATTATCTTACGGGATTGCATTCCCTAGTTCCAGTTCATCCATGGTAACCAGTAAAACAACCATTTGAGCGAGTACATATTGATTTTTTAGGACCATTATTTAATAGAAATTATTTGGTATTGGTGGATGCATTTTCTAGGTGGCCTGAAATCCATCCTGTTGATGATATTACTGCTGAATCTACAATCATTTTATGTAAAAAAATATTTCCATCATTTGGAATACCTAAAACTTTAGTGAGCGATAATGGTAAAACTTTTACATCCTACAAATTTAATTGTTTTTTCAAAAGAAAATGGAATTCTTCATAAATTAATTGCTCCTTACCATCCTTCTACGAACGGATTGGCAGAAAGATGTATACAAACTTTTAAAAAATCAATTAAATATATGGTTGATAATAATAATAATCAACAGAAAAATCGTGACACTCAAATTTTTAGTTTTTTGTTGCAATATAGAAAAACTCCTCATTCAATAACAGGTTTAAGTCCTTGATATTTATTGTTTAGCAGAAAAATTAGAAGTAGATTAGATTTGTTGAAACCTGAGAACTTCAAGGTTAAAGATTTTAAAGACGGGGAAAGAGTTACTGTTAGAAGTTATTATTGTGACACCAAATGGGAATTTGGTAAAAGAAATGCTAGAAATGGAAAACTGCATTACCTAATCAAATTGGATAGTTGCAATAAAATATGGAAACATCATTTTAATCAGATAGTAAAAATTGGTGAAGATACACCAGAAGTTTAATAGTTTGGAAACAATTTTTACATTATTCTAGAATTTATCATTCATTGTGTTTTGCAATAATAATAATAATAAAATGATTATGATCATTTTTGATACAAAAATTACATGCTGTTATGCTTCTTATTGGTTAAGGTTCTAGTTTCTGTTTATAAGGGGGGAAACTGTTGTGTTTTGGTTTGATTTAAAATGGCTTTAGAAGAGCCAGTAAGATGTAGACAGATTATCATTGTGATTACTTTTAGTTTTGTCAAGGTATTTAAAATATATAATAATTCTGCCACATTTCTAAAATTAATAATTTCGAAAAAAGGGAAGATAGCAAGTGTCATATCGATGGAAATAGCGATCTTCGAACCACGAATTTCTGACATTCAATTTTTGTTTTTGTATTCACACGTCTCCTCTATCTATAAAGGCAAAGGCTACTTGTGGGGTGTCAAATTATAACCGGACACCCTATACATTGGGAAGCTAAAGAGTAGTGCAACAAATACCAAAAGTAAACTTATAGAAAAATGCATGTTTAAATGAGTTTATTTTAATTTATGTGTTTATCTCCGAATGTTTTTCTGCTAACTTCAAATTGAAAAGCTGCAAACATGGTGATTTGAATTTGGTGGTGATTATTGGTAATCAGGGAATTTTATAAAACATCCGCCCCCTCTTAGGCAAACAATAAAGAAAATCTGTCTGAAAAATTGGTCTGCTTTATTGTTGTTTGGCCAGCCAGTATTCTAATAACTAGAGTTTTCTGTTTTTTAGATTTTTGTTGGGTATAGGATACTATCAAAACGATCAACTTGATGTCGTAGGGACATAGGTAGGGATCAATACAAGAAATAAAAGAACATAGAAGTTTAAACTAGGTTACATAATAAATTATAACTTTAATTTTGACTAAAATACCACCTTTTCTGTTTCCTTGGGCTAATTTTATATGTACATGCAATATTAAAAAAATAAATAATGAAAAAGTACCTATCATCAAAAAGTCAGAAATCAAAACAATGGGTTTGTGTTAACAGTCTAAGCTCAATGATCAAATATTTTATAATTTTATCAGAACCACTCCATTGAGCTTACATTGCCTTCCTACTTTTATAAGTAAAACATGCACAATTAATCATTCTCCAATAAATAATATTCAAGAAAGGTGCACAACCTTCTGCTCTACTGGCTAAAGAAATGGTTAAAAAAAAGCAGATAGCCAATTATAGCAGTTATAATAATCATGCAAAAAAAGAAAAAAAGAAAAGTAAAACAAACCTTGATGGAATTATACTTCTAATTTGACAAAAAATTTAGATCTTGAGCGCATCTCTTAATTGAACTAAAAAGCCTATGTTACAATACATAGTAGAACATTTTTTGATTACTAGTTGATGTCAATCATTGAATATCAAAATTTATTTAAATATGCTTGTTTTTCAAAAAATTTTGTTTTCATTTTCATTGATTGGCGAACAATAGGAAAAAAGAAAAACCACTAGACAGGCAAGATCATGCATAAAATAACATACCAGCAATCTCACCCCCGCCAAGATCGTTGAGTATTTTCCTGTAAGATGGTCGCCTCGTCAACAGATCCCTTCTTTTTTTTGGAGATTCGTCATCTGAGAAACTATCGTCGCTGCCTGCAGTTTCGACTACCTAGAAAAAAAAAAACAATTTTTAGATCACGAACACATTTTTCCAAAAGCATACAGCAATCGCCTCCATCACATCTTCAGGGTAGTCAAGATAGTAGTTAAGAGGGTAGTCATAAAGCCAAAACGATTGAAATATTATGGGTTTTTATTTACTAATGTTGGACCATAAAATCGCCAAGTTCCTATATTAAAATTTTCTTTATCTTGAAATAGCATAAAAACACAAATGCAGTGGAAAATTGTAAATAAATACATAGGGGGCATTTTTGTCGACTTTCAGAAGAAATCTAAACTGGAGTGAAATTTATTGATTACTTATTGGAAATATTTTTGATTTTTTTTTTTTGAACGACATTTTTGGAAATAACATTATAGTCCAGGATATAAAGGTTTTACTACGTAAACTCGATAGTAGTCGAGTTTTATTTTTTTTCTTATAGGTTTTGGGATGCTGACTACGAATCCGGCATATTGCCAAAAGAAAGTCACTCGGATCACCCCGTGTCAAGCCTCTAAAGAGGTTAGTTTTTGCTTTTTTGCAAAGGTAGCCCTCCCGGTGCGTTTTACACAAAAAAAAAACCTCTATAGTAAATTATAGAGGACTATATTACCTACAAGTTCTTCATTATAGTATATGTCCATCACCTACCCTTTAGCGAGGGTGGCGCCCCAAAGTTGACTACTTTGCAAATTCGAATCTGCGCCTATTCATCACAAATGTATGACTGATTTTTTGGTATATTTTTTATAAATGGGCAATTGCGCATTTTTGAAATACAGAGTTTCATCCCCTAAAAACAACTTTATATTATCTTAACGGCTGATGCTAGCGTGTTGAAATTTTCAGAGATTATCCATGTGGGGTTGCTTTTGCTAAAAACTAAAATTTCCCTAAGGGAAGTGTCCCCCCGCAAAAAAAGTTGATAAGGAAAAATTGTAGGAAATGTCATCTTATAAAACTTTTATTAAGAAAATTATTTTGCAAAAAAAAATAAAAAAACTTTAAACTACCCCTATTGAAAAACGGCAGGGGGTGAGTAAAAACTTCATAAAGCAAAAATGTTGTATGTGTTGTAGAAAAATTTTTCACGTTGGTTGAAATTTTTCATTTCCATTATAAAATTTCAAACGGCCCTTATGACCACAGACAGCCCTTAATCAAAAAAATCTTTAGATAAACATTGTAGATCAAATAATGTTGTACATCTTTTATTTGAAACATTTTTTTGTAAAATCAATAGGTACCAAGTAATCGCCAATGGCGCACTTTCAACCCCTATAGCGCAAAACGCCAGAGGGGTGAATGTTTGATATTTTCGGTTTTATGATCACCCACCCGCCCCCTATTATCCCTGAAAAGTTCATTTGGGTAGGAATTTTTTTTTGCAATACATGTATTTTTCGACTATTTTCCTAGACTACTATATCAAGGATAAAAGTGTTTATGTTCATTTATTGCCAGTGTCTGGAAATTTTGAGATATTTCTCGTAGGTCATTTTGCGTCGTTGTTTGGCTTTAAGTCACATATGATTAGTTTACAGGTTGATGGTTTGCTTTGTAATGCTTCCTTAATTTTCTTATAGCATAATAAATTAATGTACTTTTTTACTGTTGAACAATTGCTTTCGAGCAAGGAAATTTTTTCGCCTAACTTTCAAGCTGAATATTTTTGGAACCAGACCAAATATCGACATCCGGTTTTCACGGACTGACAGATTGACTTTATTATAAACTAGAAGTCGATATTTTGGTTCCAAACATATGGAACTTGAAAGTTTGGTGAAATTTTCCTTTTGCTCGAAAGCAATAATTGTCTAGCAGTTTAGTTTGACTATCGATAGGAGTGGAGAAACTTTGACGACTCGAGATGCCAACGCTATTGAGTCACTACGAGCCCGTGAGACAAGTTAGCAAATCAGTCGTCCATAACATAGGATCAGACGCTTTCGCACTACATCATCATCATCATTAGGCATTCGTTAACGAGTATTATAGGAATCTTGACAGCATCATAATTTGTGGCTTCTCTGATAGCTGAACAAGCCTATTCTAGAGTAGCCGCTCGTTGTTGTGGACCAGCTCCTATCAGACATTTTTGTTCTTTTCTAAGATTTTGTGGAGGATAGCCTCTGTTTTCAGAATACTCCGAGCCTTGATGGATTCGCCAGTTTATTTTTATAACTGGTGATCTGCGTAAGATCCCGTAAGATGAGGACCACCAACATTGTTTATTTTTTTACGACAGGCAGGTTATCATATACCTACCTACTCTTTCACGGAAGCAAATTATTGTTATCGCTAAAATTAAAGCGTGGCTAATCGAGATAATTTTATCGCGAAACCAGGCATAATTTTAATTAGAAACATCACAATTCGAGCAAAAAACTTTAGCAAGCGGAACTTATTGGGTATAGAATAGTATTGTGGGGGCAAGCTAAAGACATTGGGAGGATTTTTATAATCCAATAAAGAATAGTCAGGATTCTCTTCGATATACCGTAAAGGCAATCCTGGAGGGAAACTTTTAGGATTAAAAATATATTGCCAGTAGCTGCGATTTTTGCACTGAGAACCCCTATGTTTTTAAAAATAGAAATAACTAATATACTTTTTTTTTTTGACTGAACTAGTTTGAATATCGATAGGAGTGGAGAAACTTTCACGATTCGAGACGCCAAAGCTATTGAGGCTCTTAGTGCCCATGCTACAAGTTAAATAAAATAAGTAAAAAACAATTTTTAAGTTAAACGGTTTTATTGAAAATAATACTAATACTATACTCGAGTTAATACTAAATAATAATAATAATGAAAAGTTGAAAAACAATTCGGTATGTCCTAGGTACTAGTCATCACACCACTCTCATCATTAATCTAGGGCATTGATCAGACAAAAAAATTAAATCGTGGGGCGTAACGTAACCTAAGTATATGTAAATATCATTATAAGTTATAACGATATGAGCGCGGTTGACTATTGGTAGAAATTTCACGCGCCCCGCACGATTTTATTTTTTTGTCTGATCAATGCCCTAGAGATTGATGATGACAGTAGTTTGATCACTAGTACCTGGGACCTACCGAATTATTTTTTTAACTTTTTAGTATTATTATTATTTAGTATTAACTCGAGTATAAGTATTATATAAATTTTCAATAAAACCGTTTAACTTATTTTATTTTCAAGTTTTTAATTTTTATTACGTTACTTAATATTTCTCATTCTATTTAGTTTTAAATTGAAAATTTCAGCTTTATATCTTTAATAGAAAAAAAGTTATGACCTTCCAAAATTTTCCAAAATCTAAATCAGAAGGTAGGTAACTAAATGGATGAAATTTCAAATTTTTTTTTGTTGAGATTTTGTGTCCTAATGGTCCTTTGGGATCCCCCAAACTCCATACACTAAATTATTCTCAGATTTGAAGCCGAAATCTACGAAAAAAGGCACTCAAAAAAATTGAAAAATTGAAAAATCACCCCAAATTGCTCAACACGATTTTATCTCAGGAACTATAAGTCCAAATGAGTTGAAATTGTCAGGGATTGTGGTCCTCTACTGGAATAAGAATCGCTGGAAATTTCAGCATTATATCTTTAATAGAAAAAAAGACTCCAAGTCTGGACCAAAAAGAATTCACAGGTATGAACTCACCCCCTTAACACCCCTCACCCACCCCCTACCTACATTTTTTTTCATTAAATTGTGTTGACACCAGGACAAATCATAAATCTTGAAACCAAGTTCGTGTCTGTTTTGATTCCATAATTATGAATTTACCCCCTTAACACCCCTCACCCACCACCTACCCATTTTTTTTTTTTTTTCATTAAATTATATTGTCACCAGATCAAATCCCAAATCTGAAAACCGCATGTTCGTATCTGTTTTGGTTCCAAAGTTATGCATTTCTCCGCTTTACACCTCCCTCGACCACCCCTACCCCTTTTTTTTCATAAAATTATATTGTAGCCAGATCAAATCATAAATCTGAAAACCGCATGTTCTGGTTCCAAAATTATGAATTTCTCCTCTCTATACCCCCTCAACCCACCAAATTTTTTCATAATATTATATTGTCATCGTACCTACATTACTGTTCCAAATTTCATGAAAATCATTTCACAGGAAGTGTGTCAAAAATGAATCGTAAGATTTGACCCAAACAAAAAACAAACAGGTTAAGTTAAATGAAACCGTTTAAAAATCTGCCGTCCTTAACATGGAACGGTTTCGCACCACTTCATCATCATAAGCATTCACTCGCTAACGAGTATAATAAGAATCTTATTAGTGTCATAATTTGTATATTCTCTTATGGCCTATTCTGGAGTAGCCGCTCGTTGTTGTGGACCAGCTCTTATCAGAGATTTTCGTTCTTTTCTAGGATTTTGTGAAAGACTCCGAGCGTTGATGGATTTATCGCAATAAGGGTCTATTCAGATCTGCGTAGGTAGTTTATTCTTTTACGACAGGCAGGTTATCAAGGGCATTAGCCTTCCAATTCCCAGAGTGGTTCGAATTTAACTACCTATTCTCGTTATGCTAAAGCTGAAGCGTAGCTAATCGGGGTGAACTTTATCGCGAAACCAGGAACGATTTTAATTAGAAACGTGACAATTCGAGAATTTTCAATTAGCTATAACTAAACTTAAGCAAGTGGAACTTATTTATCGGGAATCAAAACACCTGCATACTGGGGCGTGGGTGACCACAAGATTATTTATTAAGCTGTATCTTACGCATGGAATATTATTCTCTGTGGGAATTTGCATATTGATGCCTTCAAGGAAACTCTTGAGAAGAAAATTTTGTTCATTTAATTTCAAGTGTCTAATTCAGGAGAATACAAGGGATTGTGTGAGAGATAATAAAATAGTCTCTATAACAATTGACTATGTAATCTTGAATACCAACTCGGTAAGAACTTTTGTTTTTGAGCCTGGTTGTTGTGATTAGTATGGTCAGCTGATAAAATTTGGGGATGCTTCGACAATGAA